TTTTATTTTAATTTAACTCAACACTCTCCAAAGATACAAATATAATCTATGTTATCCCGTGTCACACTAAACTATAAGCAAAAACACATGCAGTGCAAGTCAAAACACGTCGCGTTACTAACGCAAAATGTCAACTATCGGTCCAAGGTCACAAGCACCGGCGCCGACTGAGTACGAAAGTTGAGATCCATATCTGTATCCGTATCCGCGGATCTAGACATTAATGATCTGTATCTGTATCCATATCCGTTGATATACATTTTTAACGATTTGGCACATAACTAATTAGCACATATATACAGTACACATAAAGATCAACATTAATTGTAAGTCAGTATTAATCTACAGAATTCAGCAAATACAAGATATTAGAAGTAAAAAATTATGATTTATAAAACTTATAATTGATGAAAATAATCTTCTACTACAGAATACATTAACATAAATATAGGAAATATAAACAGTTTCAAAAATATGATGGATTTAACAATACCTATTCAAATTATGTGTGTAGAAATCTAAAATTATAATTATAATTGATTATTATAATAATTACAATTAAATAGGGAAAAATGGATTAAGAAATCTAATTGGAAAGAATTAGGGGGAAAAAATGGGCCAGTTATAGATTTATTGATCCATGCAGTGTTTTAGTTTCTGTTCAGTAAGAAGTTAAAAGAAAGTAATGATCATTAAGAATTAAATATGATGTTTAACATGCATATAATTTGAAGTGATTTTGTTAAAATTTTTTTGTCAATGGATACATGCAAGTATGCATCAGTTTCGGCTACATTCAATGTACCGGTGACGGTTTAATAAGCCTTTACTGGAATGTACATTGATGAATATTGGAACATATTTTAGCACATTGTGGTTCACCAATGCAGTGTTTTATGCATACTGGAATGTACCCAATGTGGTCATATAAAATGCAAATTTTTTCGAAGAAAAATTTTACCAAAATCATTTGTAAATACAGTATAACATTTATATCAAACACATTTTTAAAAACATTCAATAAATATGAAAGTTATTAATTTTTCATGTAAAATGTTGTATATAAGCAAATGTAAGCATAATACATGTTTTTACATAGAATAGATATAAAACATTTGCATATTTCCAATGATTAATTTTGTTTTGGTGCATTATCTCTTGATACATATTAGTTACTTGAAGAAGCATTAACATTTATGCATATATTGTGCAGTAAGTGGTAAATTGCTTGGTAAAAAGATTCACCAAACAGCAATTAACATCTGCATACCTGTTAATCACAACATCAAAACAATATTTTTAGGAAATAACATCAATTTATTTATTAAATAATATAATATGTAAAAACAAATACATTGATACAATCAAATGTAATTATTAGAAAGTTCTTCAAAATGAATAATTTTAATCAAAATATCAGATAAATTATTAAAGACTAAAAGTAATAACAGAGTAAATTTCATAAGTCTTCAAATGTAAAACTTCTTGTGCCACATGTGTGTGAAAAAGCATCCCAAAATAATTTCTATAATTACAAGCCAATAACTGTGCCAAATGATGCTCGGCAGATGGGATTCTGTCGAATCTTTTAATTTAAGAAATATCGATCACACAGTTATACTTAATAATGATTGCAATAAAATATTTAGAAAGGAAATATTTTTATTATATTTTTGTTGAAAGTTCAAACATCAAAAATATTATCTCTATCTCGGCTTCCAAGAATTATGAAATAGTTAATAAAAACAATTCCTAAACTCAGATTTTCCTTAAAATATGAAATGCAAGTAGAATTCTAGTGGTATTTTGTATTTTATTCATGTTGAAATTAACATTCTTTTCTTATTTTCCACCTTGTTCTGTCTTTTTGAGTGAAAGCTAAGTTTAAAATTAGATTTTGTTTTGGAGTTTATCATGGTAACTTGATACTTTCATTGATTTTTTCCTTGACATTAAGGTTACACTAACTATACAATTTTATCAAGAAAAAAATTGATTACTCTATTTATTATTCCATTATAGTATGAGATCCAAATATGCAAAAAACAAGATTTAAAGCTTTGAATTAAAAATTTTATATGGAAAAAAATAATAATAAATGTAGTTAATAGTGAAGTGTGATGAGATAATGATCACTTAATATTAGAAATGCCATTTAATCAAGAAATATTGGCAAGAATTGAAGACTCCACATACAAAATTCTGAAGTTTTTTCCTTCAAATGGATGAGTAAAATGCTTGGGCGGCTTTGACTGGTTCAATATTAGGAAATGTTTTATTTTACGGATTTTATGATTTGAAAATTTCTATTTTAATAAGAAAAATTATTATTTTTGAAAGAAAATAATTTATAGATTATAAATTGAAATTTAAATAAATTTGGCTGTTTTTACTTAATATTTCTGTAATTTTTATTAATGATTTAATTATAGTTTGCACTAAACAAGAGATAAGCATTTGTTTAAATCTGTGGACCCTACACGTGTCGTTTATTTTTTCGTGTATCCTACTTACGTCAGAGAATAAATTTGCGTAAGTTGGTTTTGTATAAATAAAATATTCAAAGTTTTGCATTAAATTGGATTAAAAATATTACCAGGAATGTCAGAGGATTTCAAAATAACTACCAAGAAAGCTGCCCAATTATCTAAATCGCCATTTTCGATTAGCAAATTATGAATTATAACCAGATACAGCAATAAATTTATATACGTTCAATTTCGATTTTTAACATAAAAGGTGACCCAAAAGTTGGTTGACCAAAAGTACGTCTCGCCCGTTCTGACATACTCTTCAATACCAATGGTCAACAATGTTTAGAACAATTGTTTTTATTTTCTTTTAAAAAGTGCCGAAAACATTTCATTTCATTTTTATTATTTGACAACGATTCAGTCTTTACATTGGTTAACAGACTATTGGACCACCCTGTTTTTCTAATTCAAATCGATAAACACGAAACAGGAATGTTTGAAAGAGTCACAAAATGAGAGCAATTATATATAGATATGCTAATATACGTCGATATAACGCCACCCTGGTAAAGCGCCAGTGAATACCCTTTGGATATTCACTGGCGTGAATCACTGAATGTATGATTTTGCATAGTAAACGGCATTGTTATCGTGTCAGGTGACTTCCGGAATGAAGCTTTCGTATGGATTTTACGTCTGTGTATAATTCTTATTGTTTGTTACTTCAGTTTAACGTTGCACTCGATTTAGTGCCAATTTCTTAGGCGAAGAAACCGCGACGCTAAATGAAAGTTTGACGTGTGTACAGTACATATATACAAGCGTGTTAATTATTATGATTATTTGATTGTTTGGCTGCTTAATTACTAAATTTGATTGATAATTCATTTGTGTTCTTTACTAATTTCTGTTTATATAATTGCTTCTTATTAAATATATCGACTTAAAATGATTGCAACACGCTAGACGTTCGCATAGTTACTCTCACTTTTTTTAAACTGGCTTTTCTTTTATTGGTTTCAAGGTCGTTTCTTCTCGTCTCAATTGTTCCATTCATCCAATAGCTAGAAGGGTTATTTTCCTCTCGTGCCGCTCTCTCATCTTTCGTATAATTTACACAAATTTCTTGCCTTTGTTTTCGTTGATTAGTTCTGGTTCGTTAACTCCCTATTTCTCTCTTTGTAATAACTTTCTCTTTGTTTCAAACCTCGGCGGAGGAGGATTGAATTGAAGAAAGAAGAGGAAACGAGTAACTTAAACGTTAAATTGCTCTCCGGAAATACGAATTTAATAATAAATAACGAAAATTAATTCGGGAAAGTTTACTTGAAAAGCTTTAGAGATCTTCGTGATTACAAGATTCGGTTCTTCGAGACCATTCGAGAACGTCTTGAAAACTTGAAGATTTCAAGAAACTGGCCATATTCTCGACCAAGAATCTGGAGTTGAAGTTAACCAATTACCATTCGTTTTACTTTTAATACGCGAATTCTTATTGGTTAACCTCCAGTTTATGATCCTTTCAGACCTAAAGGCTCGAGTTTCGTGTAAATCCAAGCCTTTTTAATTAAACTACCGAAAATATTCTTTCAAAACAATGCGTTAGATCATCATTTTATAGAATGATAGAAATTTTATTTTTAAAAATCGGTAAATTTAACTGTGGTTACGTATATAAATAGGATCGTTCTCTGTAAACAGTTTATATAAAGAATGACATAAACAAATGCCGATCGCACTGGAGATATATTTCGAAAATAGGTTACTATGGACAGAACGAGATATTTCAAGCGATATTTATAAATAAATGACGTCTACGTCGCGAAATATCTGTTATATCTATCGTCACCCGCTCTTAGGACAGTAGAATTTTCTATAAGATAGAAGTATGTCGGCAGACTGCTTAATGCGGTGATGTAGGGGCACGCCTTTCGGGAAATTAACGCGTAGGACGTTAATTGGAAAATATCGAGTTACGTTTAGTAAAGCGACGCGTTACGTCAAGCGGCGCGGCCGCCCTTTATAGTTGTTTATACAAGGTTAAATGCACCCTGGCGACGGCATTGTCGCGAGTCAGTACTATTCCAATTGCATAGATTCGAGTCCATATACTAAAATACACACATTTCCACGGAAAAAATTAAATTAACAGAGTGTTAAGTAAAAACAATTACGAAAATTTTAGTTACAATTCCTGCCATTAGGTAGCGCTCGTAGGAAACGTGAAGACCTATATATAACAAATGGCGACAAACAACGGGACGCCATCTTCTGGTAATTCTTAAACACGGCGTTCGCAGTGGAAAAAAAAAATGTTGCCACAATAATTTTGTGCGTAAACTTATGGCGGGGGCATCGATGCTTTCCTGTGAAATTTATGCAGCGGCGATTCTTGTCTATATTGGAGTATGTTCGACGCCATTTTCTAACTTCTGAATATGTTTTAAATTTGTAATAATATACGAGTATGGGTGTAATTGACTGGAAAAAACTAGGAGCCACGGAAAAGACTGCCATTACTTTAATATCTATAACTTTAATGAGAAGAGCTTGGGAAATTACCTTACTCGTTTTATTATGATGTTGGGTAAGGACCTGGATCTCTGAGCAGCGCCACCGCCGGCAGAAATTGTAACTAAAATTTGCTCAAAGTGTTTGTTTCCAAAAATTCTTGCTCCTTTTGAAGTACTTCTGTGAAAACTATGGACGTTTTTCACTAATACGTGAACTTTTAAATCTGTTTCTGACTGTTGGATCGTCCCACATTTGGGACGCAGACAAAAAACATTGTGCCAGTCCATGTCTTACTTCTGCTAAATATTAGCTTAAATGTGAGTGTGTAATTAATTGGTAGTGTGTGTTGGTGGCACAGTTGCTGCGCACCCCGATCTTTTCGTGGATTCAAATCCTGTCTTGAGTTTTATGTCCACTAAAATAAAATGTCAAAAATGTCATTTTACTGTAGTGAAGTAAGTTTTTTCTGGAATTTTGTGGTTTCTGTGTTGTTGTATTGTATTATATCCAGTTTAGAACTGGTTAATTACATTTGATGACTGCACCATTTAAATTAATAAATTGTAGTGAATCCCGAGATCTGTACAAAATTTAGTTAAAATACCCAAAGGGGAAGGGGCCGGATGCTGTCAAAAAATGGCTTCTCTGCGGGACCTTAAGCGGTAAAGGCCATGTAGTGTCCTCTTGCAGTTTCACTTCTCACTTTTTGTGGCAGTGTACACTGTAAATTTATGGTAATTTTGAAAATTTAGAATAATATAATTATTGATTTAGAACCAATCAGAATTCATTTATCAAGCTTGCAGAGTTCAGTTCTCATCCTAAATGGATTTTTCTGGATATTTTTAATTTATCTAATTACAAAATTGTTATTAAAACATAGCCTGTCCCATCTTAATGACAAATTATCCTAATTACAATTTAATCTAACCAATGTTTGTATAAGAATCTAGTTAGTGTAGTTTTTAACTTCTAATACAAATTAGATTATTTAAAATATATATAATAATATATCTTGGTGCATTCTCAATGAGCAATGTGCTGAGGTGGCCAAGCTATTGGCCTCTCTAGGGCATCTGGTTTGAGCCAGTGTAGTACAGAAATTTTCGTGGACGAATCGAACTGGATTGTTAGACTCTATCCTTTTCCACTCGATCGTTCTTGTTGCGGATCCAATCAAAACTGCGATGGCTCCAAAAAAGCCCTCGTCATGATGCGAGACAGAGTTAAAAGAAAAACCAAAGTAAATTCTCATTAATCCAATCATTGTTAAAGATGGTTAGATTAGTGAAAGGTTTCAATATTCTTTTATTTCATTAATTCCTTTAATATATTTCAGGCAAAAGCTAGCAGTAAAAAGCTTCAGAGAGTTGCGATGACGGTTAATCCAAAAGGAATATTAATATCTGATCTAAATTCTGGAGAAACGCAATCAAATTTTTCTATTTATAGGTAAAGTATAATATATAAACAATCTAAAAGGAATTTAAATGATCGTACGTAACCTTTGCTGGATTCTGTATTTTCAGGATATCTTTCTGCTCGGCGGATGCGAATTACGACAGAGTGGTCGCATTCATTGCCACGAACAAAAATGAGACGTACGAGTGCCATGCATTTCTCTGTTCCAAACGAAAGGTGGCACAGGCGGCAGCCCTCACCATATCCCAAGCTTTTAACATCGCATTTGACATCTGGGAACATGCACAGGGGGAAAAGCTTAACCAAACTAGTAATCAGGTAAATAATTCTGTTTTAGAATGAGTGAATTGAATGGATCTTTGGTCACTACAATAATTAAATGAATGGGAATATTGTAATAATCAAACATATATTTGCTTCTTTAGAACATATAGGACAAAGAGTAGTTTAAGAATATTAAATTTTAATTAAATATTTGTTGGTGGACTGAATGTTTTTTATTCTTTTCATTGCTATCTTTTACAGTTATAGTTTGATTGCATATTTATTGTTTTCATAGAATAATTACATTAATTTGCATTATAAATTTTATCGTTTAGGATAAAGAATCTGCAGAAAATAAAACAAAGGAATCGAGTTCCGAAAGTAATAATGGTCCCGAAAGAAATAATCAAATTACGTTAATAGATTTTAATAACGAATCAGAAACCGTAACAAACGAAACAATGAGGAAATTGGTAAGATAAATTACCTTTGATATTTTACAAAATCAAAATTAGATTAATTTAGTTTGTATAAAGACAAATTATTCAGCAAATTATTTTTATTCTGTAACCTGAAGGTGACTTTGTTAAACAAGTCAAAATATTCATTTCATGGAATAATTTGCTAGCTATTTGTGAGGTTGTATGGCATAGATTCCATTCTCCCTTTGCATGAGGACAGATCCTATTTTTGGTCCTACGTAAGATAATGACTTAGTTTAAGTTACAAAGATGTAGAGCATATTGAGATCAGTTTGAAACTTTTTGGTCAAGTTAAAATACTTAAAAGGGAAGCAGCTGGACACAAACAAGAGTAGCAAAATTAGCTTCTCTGCATGATCTCAGGTACTCAGGCCTTGCAGAGAAGCCTCACATGGAATATTTTATTGAAGCTATAACTCAAAAAATAGGAAAATCTTAACATTTTGGTATATTCTAAATATAGAATAGATAATGCTAATAAGATGACAATTATTAAATATTAATGAGTCATTTCTGTCACGGTATTTACATTTTTTTAAATTGTCAACTGATATAAAATGACATGTTTTCCATAAATTAACATAGGATAATATCAAACAAACTGTTTGTGAAAGTAGCCAAGGACGCAGATCTCAATCTACGCCACTTACGGGCACTAGTCGGTGAGACCAGTTCTCTAGGATGCAGATCACTAGATCTGATCTTAAATATTTCATAGGAGAGCGATAAACGCTAGTTGATCCGAACTGCGAAGTTCAGACGTTCCTGTCAGGTTCCCGACACCAGTTTGTCAATTTATCGATGTGCGGACAAACACGCGTATGCGATCTGATTCGGACACCCAATTAAGAGACATTTTTGTATAATAAACATAAGTATAATTTAATAAAACTAAACAAACGAATACAAATAATCGATAACCACAATTAAACGACAAGCTAGAGGTTAAAACCTCTTCTAGGTTTATGCGCGTTCGAGAGAGAGAGCTCACAAAATTATTCTAGACATACGACCTGTTTAGTTGTCGTCGTTCGTCTTCATCTGTATAGGTAAAGGACACCTTGTAGATGGGGTTCCTATTACTTTCATACGGGAGATCAATTCATGCACAAAATATAAAGATATCACTTCTTCTAAGTGTAGACTCGGGACTTCGTCTATCGGACTCCGTTATGGGCGTTGGCCATCAGGAGGATAACTGCGTGGAGTTTAGATGCTCGGATCTGTCGAAGAACTCCGCGAATTCTGACTAATCTCCCCTTTTATTTCAAAATTTCGTCCAATCATCGTCCAGTAACTCTTTCGTGAGAACGGACGAAAGGGGGATGAATGAGGGGTAACCATTTCCCATCTGAGCGAGATTTTTAACCAGATACGGAAAAACAGAGGATGTTCTCTTCATGAAAGGAAATAACATTTGTTATCTGGTTTTTCCCACGTCTAAAACAATATTTTTTTCACAAAAACGAAGTAATATTTCGTGTCTATATTTTAATATATTTAATAAAAATTCACAAATTAGACCCAGGGTCTTTCGGATCTCACATGTTTTACTATTTTATATTATGCAAAAATATTTCAATGTAATTGTGCAAATACTACAGAATGATTAAATGAAAACTTAACTTGTGAATGGTCTGCTCTACAATATTGGTGAGGAGTTTCAAATGTTGCCCTTACATTTGTGGTAAATAAATGTTCAAGAATTGTTTCTTGTAACACATAGCAAGTGTGGTCAGTTCATAATATTTATACTGTAGCATTATGTCTGTTCTTGTATTGTAAATAAAGTAAATTTTTTATTTAATCATTCAGTATACTGATATTGGATAATTGTATAAATTGTACAGGATAGGGATATAACATATTGTCTGTTAAATAAGCTTCTGAATTTTAAACCATAAACATTAAAATAACATTTATGAAACTAAGACAAATTTATATATATTTTTCTTTCACAGGGCTTCGACCATGACATGAATCTCAATGACAGTTTTTCTACGTAAGTATTTTCTGTTAAGTTTCTCTGAAAACTTAAAACTTTCTGTAAGCAATATAACAAAACTGTGGACTAATGAATTATAAATTAAACTGTTGAATTTTCATGCTACGTTTGCACTGATTTCTTAATTAGCCAAATTACAAAATTTAATCTAGAGATATGTAATAATGTAACTGTCTAGTTTTATATCATATTTTATAATTTGATTGATTAAAAAGTTAGTGTAAATGTATCTTGAAAATTTGGTTTGTTTTCAGTTTATGAAATAATGCAAATACAAAAAAATAGGCATTCTATTTAGCGTATATCTAAACAGTTTAATTCATATATAATAATATAAAGGACCATTTTTGATTAATCAGATTATTCAAGCAATTAATACAAAGCAGCAACTTACTTAAAATGTCTTAATTTGTTACAAATAATGTTTTCAAGATTTTTAAAATTTCGTCATTATTTCGGTAATATGGTAGTACCCTGGAACTCAAATTCAAATTGTTATTAAAGGGTGTTAGAGTTCCAAAGTAATTTTTCCATAAGGAATAATGTAAAGTGAATTAATCTGTTCTCAAACCTTATAAATGCCCATATTGATTGGGAATGAATTGCTTTTTTTTACCTCAGTCGTTGCTCTTTCAAATTTTCTCTGAGGTTTCGTAGCCTCAACATTCTTCAAACACACATGGGTGTTGTTATAAAAACACCAAAAAACAAGTTATGCAAAGATGCTTTAAGAACAAGAGCAGATGAACTGATGGCTGGTCTTGTTCAATATGTGTCCCAAATTTATATTGATGGATTTAGAAAAGTAATGATTTTTGTTGCTTGGAGCCTAAAATAAAAATTAACCTAATCTGGCAACATTGCCTCATCATGTGTACCCATACAGACATCATACAATGCACAATATGGCTGTTTGTGTTTGAGTTATAAGAAAAGTTTGACTTTTGGATAAAATTTCCTCGAAAAAAAGTGTTCAAATTCAAAGTTATTCAAGCCCTGGGGCATTATAATTTTGATGTACTATTTTATATATAACTTGATTTCAAACATTCATTATGTACTTTGCTCTTATTCAATTTTTTCACATAATTTTTCATCTAATCTTAAAATCTGTTTTTTTTAGACTATTCTTCAATAACCATTCAAGAAAACTTCAATACATAACGATTTTGATGTTAAAGACAAATTGATCACACATCATCATTACAACATACAGAATACCTTGGATAGAATTATTGTCATCTATATAGAGAATTACACAAATGTTTTCCTAAGAATTGCAATTTTGTCCATTTTAAATACACTACAACACTGTATTATTAACTTTTTAAGATTCTTTGACTACTTTAACATTACAACTTTTAAACTTTCATATAGTGCCACTTTTGCAAAGTGTTAACAAATATTTGCAAATGGATCGTTCTCACAAATATTAAATAGAGAATCCTTTTGGTACCTGTGAATTATTATTAAATATGATTTTTACATTGCAAGTGAAAGTTGTGTGATTTGGTGATGACAAACTTTTAAACTCAATTATGTGTAAACAGCATGAAACGTGTATAATGCTATTGGCACTAAACTGAAGTAACTTAAACAGTTTCAGGAGCAAATAAATTATAGCACTAAGTTGAGATTTGACGTTATTATTGATTTGAGATTATCGAAAGAAGTCATCTTAAAATTTACAATTTTTGATTAAAAAAAACATATTTAAACTGTTAGAAAGAACAATTTAAACTTTAAATTACTCTTTATTTTTTCAGTTGAATTGTTTAGTTAACACTTATTAATTTCACATCTGATCTAAAGATTTAAGAATTTCTAAATTTGGAATTAATGTACATTAACATTTTCTATTAGTAAACTAAAATTACTTAAGAAAGATTCTAATTTATTCATTTATTATGAGTTTATTAATTTGTAAAATATTCTACTATCAAACTCTGATTTTTTTTAGTGTTTCTAAGCATTTTATGATTATTATTTTTGCCAGTGCAGTTTCTTTTCTCTAAGTTTTGTCGACATCTTATAACATCGTGTAAAGTTTTTTTAGTTTCCGCCAAATAAGAGACTTCGTTTTTTGTCGTCTCGGTATGAAAGGAAATTTATTTGATATTAATCTAGTGTAACAAGATTAATCATTAAAAATATTGTACTATTTCATATTTAAGTATTATTATTGTTTTTTATTATGCATGGTAAGAAATTACAACTTTGACAACATTGCATATCTATGGTTTTAACATTGTAAATCCTACTCCAAATTTTGTACAAAATATTAAATTATAGTTTTATGGTATTCCAAACTTAACTTTAATTTGTATAGGAGTTATTTTCATGCCTTAATCAAAAGATAAATTATCATTTTCCATATGTAATGAGTCTGGATGAACTACACGAACTCTTACAAAGATATCACCAAATCAAAGCATAGTCTGCAGTCACGACAGTATTTGAAAGTGGGAGCTTTGCGAAGTTGTTTAGTTAATTATGGTGTTATATTGTTAACTATCGGAAATATCTTGTCAATAATTATGTTATTTGATGATCGATTTAAGGTATTTTGAATAATTATGTCAGTTTTGACACGGATTATAGTAAGGTTGTTATTTGGTCTCAAAAGCATTTTACATTTCATTTTACAATATTTTTGGCATTGCAATTCTCTTTGCTTGTTAATAGTTTAATCTTTAAAATCATTCTCTGGCATTCAAAACTAGAATGTCATTTTATAAGTTAAATATAGTGTTACAATAATAAGTTAATCAACAAATTCAATAAAATATTTATATTATAATAATTTAATTGAAATTAATATTCATATAGAATATTCTAATTATCTTAAATATGATCAAAATCACGTTAACACATTTATAGACCATCCTAGACGTAAAACATTCAAAATTACTTTTTAAATCGGTCCGCAAATGCATTAAGGTAACGGCTCGGCCATCCGAGTCACGTAATAAGTTAGCAGCAACAGTAATTAAAAAATTAATCTCGACATTTTTCAGACTGGCACAGTCGCGATCTCATCCCATGTTTAACACAAACTACAAGACGGAAGACCTGAAAAACTTGGAACAGTTCGTGCAGAATCAAGGAGAAAGCTGTGATATGGACCCGTTCATGGAAGAACAGACGGACGACCTGTTGAGTCTGTAACCGGCCGGGCCGACGTTTCGGTGAAGGAAATAATGTCTACCAACTTCGGTTACGTTAATTTGTAATTTCCACGAACACATAAATTCGAACCAAGTTTCGGAGGACATATCTATAAAAGGAAAGGTGCATAAACGTTTTATTCTTTTTTTGCCATATAATGAAAATAATTTTGTGAATTGTCTTACTTTAAAGTGGTATGTTGTTGTGTTTTTTTTCTTTCTTTATTGTCCAGAAAATGCACAATAATAAAAAAATTTCTCTCTTATCAAGTGAACATTTCACATAAATGTTATTTTTGAAGCAAATATATATAAATATATTTCCTTTTCTAAATGAAAGTTAGATTTTTAAACTTTGTCTGGAGTTCAGATAAAATAAATATCAGTATTATACAAAGAAACTTTCTTGTTAAATTATTATTATTATTTCAAACAAAAGAACATTGTCTAAATGAAATGTTTATTTGACCCTCTTCTAACAAATATCCTTTTAAAACTGATGAAATTTTATCATATTTTATTACAAATCCACGAAACTGCAAAACGTTTATGAACAATAAAAGTATAATTGACTTAAATATTTAGTAAATTTTTATTTTGGACTTATTTAGTTTATTGAAATTATACCAATAAAAATAATAATAATTATTATCATCTTTTTCGGTGTCAGTGTGGTCTCTAGCCCCATCCCTCCAAAAACAGGTATTCACTTTATTAAAATATCTATAACTACGTGACTTGTTTTTACCTTACCCATCTCTTTTCTACACGATCTTTTATTCCTCCCCTAACTCGGGATACATTTATGGACGATTCCTGTAATTGTTTACGTCACACTAAAAAAACTGTAGAATATACGTGGAAAAGTGTTTTGGCAAATTTCAAGGACTTACAGGAGGAGGAAAACCCGAATAATCTCCGACGCTCTTAAAAGTCGCTAAGGTTAGAGGAAGATCATAGTATGAGACAAATGGAGAATCACCGGCCGTAAATGGATTAGCATAGTTTTAAATTATGCTAATCCATTTACGGCCGTTGCACACTGTTTTCTTCCGCCAGTACAATTCAGTCCACGGTGTCTTCCAAGGATTAAAACCCTCAAATTCTTTCTTATGGGTTTACGGTTCGTGCCGCTCCAATTTCCAATGTACAAACTCTAACGGTAAAAAGTCGTTTTCCAGCGCGTTGGTAAGATGGCCACGGGGACATTTCGAACATCGCCGCCACGTTCTCAATTCTTTTAACTTCCTCTATAATAACTAGTTGTCGACTTTACGAACGTAACCTAACGAGTCGGTAATAAAGCATAAATTCCACTCGATGTAGGTGACGTTTCAAACGGAATTCACGAAGTCAGTTTACTCGGCGAAGAAAATGGCGCCCGACGATATCGATGTTTCTAAATATATTCGAATGTTTAAATTGCGGATTAAAAGATGGAATGATACGAATAACTCCATCGGAAGCAATGTAAGAAAAACATTTCGGATAAGACTGCACTAGTGACATTCGTAACTTCGATTTTAAGAACGGCCATTTTGTTGTAGGTCTACGCGAATCGGTCGAAATGTCAACGCGTTCGACTTTACGAATGTATCCGTAAAATTCCACACCTATAATCAATTCACGCGTGATGTGGCTTGGGTTAAACCAATGGCACATTCCCTAAGGACGTCGGCACTTTTCGTTTAATACTTCGGGCAATATGTGAATTTTATTTCATTTTCTCTCGCTAGATGGCAGAACGACTTTTCCGTTAATTGTATTAACGTTTTATAGCATTAAGTGTAAAGAATGACGTCTAAACCAACTTTCTCGTATTCCAATACTAGAACGCGAAGCTTCCGTAATACCGTTTATAATGGCGGTGACGTGTTGAAGAAACCGGAAGTAACTTACCACAGTTAAACCACGGATGGCTGATGCTTATTGGTTAATACCCGAGTCGAATCTTTTCGTAGACATACTATACTAACCTTGAAAATTGCCCACCGGCAAGTGTGGTACTGAGGTTTTCTTTCAAACCTTAACCATCGTGCCTCGAGAGTATTGCTCTTCTCTTCTGGGAAGCAAGGAATAAGCTTCGTCTACTAGTGTCTACGGACACACTACATAACTCGTAAATCACAGACTATTGTTCGCGCTTGCAAATCTGTGCATTTGTAACAGAGGAAACTACTGTATTTCTTTTACTAAAGTTTCACGGTCGGGAGGATTGGCGCGAAAAAATGCGTGCCAATATCTGTACTCGAAGATAAATTACTTTCACGTCCCGCCGTACGTTATTTATCTCACTCGCCAGTAATACAAGTAAATTAAACGCGGTATCTTAATTGCTTTTTACGTATTATTCTAATTAAAATTTTAATCTTAAGAAGTCGTATACCGGGTGGTCTATTTATAATATCCCCGATAAATATCTGGTTAAAAATAAATAATAATAAAAGTTATTTATTCTTCGGAGGGTCTTTTCGATTTCATTACGGAGGTGGGGGATTAATTTTAATGTAAATTAGATAGGAAAAAAAGCATTTCTAAGTGCTGGTAACTTTAGAAATTAATAATTTGGAAAAACGAGCTTTAAATAAAACTTTATCGTTCTATAATCCTAAATCCAAAAAATATAGGGGTTTTGTTTAAATTTCTAAAGTTGCTCCCCTTCCGTTTAAGGTGGAGTGGCTTAATTTTATGAAACTGAAAAGGCCCTCGAATCCCATCAGATTTTTAATTAGACGCATATTTTACCAGATATTTGTCGGGAACACAATAAATAGTGTGTGTATCTGTATCATTTATTGTATACCGTGTGTTGTTACGTGTAAAATTATGAAAAATCATGGCGCACTTGCAAATGACGCAATGTAGGCGCACGGTGACGTTTCCATCACCGTCGTACACCCGCAAATACAAAGCAAACATTTAGGCTTATCTGAGTCGATACACGTAAATATCTATAATATTTTCAAACTTTTCGAATACATTGAGAAAAATAAAACGCCATTAAAACGTAGTCACACGAATAGAAGATAAAATCGCATCTGTAAGTACGAATCCACGTGGCATTTGGATAATAGATAAAATTCCCGTGTCCAGTTTTCCCAGAAAGACACTTAAATAATTGGCCAACTGTTCTAACCTCGAAGTGAAATTCACGTCTACTGTTTGATGGCAACATCCCGACAAACGTATTTACCTTCTTTAAATTGTTTACGTATATAAACAATATAAAGTTATCGTAAAGATTATCGAATAAGCCAGTCTTATCGATTTTTTCCTATTACGCTACCGTAATTTTATAGATTTGTGCGCTTAAAATACGGTAATGAGCGTATTTTTGAAATATTTAAAGTGATAATGAAGGATAATAGAAAAATCTAATGGAATACACAAGAAAAGTCTGGATTATATTATAATAAAGAAGAAAACGGTGATTGTTTAACGCTACACCAGAGAGTCGCGTGCACTTTCGAGTAGTAGTATATATACGTCATTGGCCACGTTCTTCTTCGTCTCTTCGCGCTGGTGACGAGACTCGTACCGTCCAGATGATGATGATGATCAGCGACCTCTATGATTACTGAGAGTTAACGAAGTGTACTGATTTAATGAGTCTGATGGGCTGTACTTTTATCCTTACATTTCATTCTAACCCTTTTTACCAATGATTACTAAATACCAGTTAATAAAGGAGCGTCCTCCTACTCGTAAATTCTCCAGGCCCTCCGGTATATTCCGAAAAAAATAAGAATATTCGAGGCCCCAGTAAATGCCAGGTCCGGGCTTTGCCCATGTCCTCGCATAGGGCCTACTCGTAATAATTAATTAAAAGTATTTCTAATTATATATCGGCTGCAACTCGTTTATTTAATTAACTCTCTTCATAAATATGCAGCGAGTGTTTTAAAATCGTTAATTTTATTCGTGTCTTTGTAAATACCATACACGGGGGAAAGGTGAAATTGCTAAGCAAATTGTGTCGCTGTTTAATTGGGACAATTTTTTAGTCGACGTCACACTCGAAAGGTAAGGACGTCACTTTTAAAGGTCACGCCGCGAAAGAAATCGAACGTAAGTGACACGCCCTTATCCTTCGCTTTAAACGTACAGCGTCTAGTCCCTGCTTTATATTTTCACCTGTATTTAGTGCCTGGAAACAACGAGAATTGTAAGCTCGTGCAATATGCAAATCGGCGACGTGTAAAACAAGATCGTAGTGTTCTAGGTGTTGAATTGTACGTCACGGGTGATAATCGAGTTTAGTGTTCCTTAAAATTAACCTTCTTGTTCTCTTTTGGCTGGTCCTCGCCTCATCTGCTACAAGATTAGTTATGGTGTCGCCATCTGTTGACGGAAGAAACTTTGAAAGACACAGTGTTGCATCGTCAATATCATCGTTGTTTTTATACGCGCTCAAATTCGAGCAAATACTACAATTATCTTTGTAAAATTTACAATGGAATTTAGAGATGTTTTATATAAAAATGGATTTTAAATTATTCTGGCTGTTTGACTGCAGAGGGATGAATCGAGTGAAGAAAACAATAACTTTACCTATTAGACCGAGAAGGTAACTATACACTACTCTAAAACATCTTTTTAGGCTAGTTTAATGATGCGGGCCTCCAGAACGTAGGCCTCGGAGGACCCGGGATCCACCACAAATCATCGTGGTGTTGTCGGGCTCCGTCGCCCCATTTCTCTTGTGTGATTGGTCACGAGAAATCACAATAGATCATCGTAAATTCTCCCCATAATCCATGACGAAAAAGGCCCTCTTGGGTCCAAGACGACAAAAATAATACATCAAAAATGATGAATAAATTTCAAGAAACGAAGTGTACGACGTAAGAATTCAATGGAGGCCTTTCGGAAGTACGGGGAGGCCTCAACTTCCTACATTTCCGAGGTGGGGTAAACGTGAGATCCCGACCAAATGACTTCCGCTGGTCCCTCGTGATAGGGCCTGTATCTAATATTTACTTAATTCAAATATTCTAACGATAATGAATATCTTTTATATTTGTATATAGATAATACACACCATCCCGTATTAGGTCTATATTTATAATAATAGGCGTCCGCGTATATTTTAATTGTAATTAAAAAAATGACAGTTAAAATTTACTTGAACTCGAAGAATTTATTTAATAAATAAATTATTTTTCAGTTTAAAGTATATTTTATAACTCGAAAACTAAACAAAGGATCGATATACACCGGCCCAAAAGTTAGTTAACCGATGTATATGATTTAACGCACGGATCGGTTATCTAACTTTTGGATCTGGCTGTAATTTACAGAGAAACTCGATCGGTGCATTTACACCTTATTAAGTATAGGATCTAAGGGATCGATAATTAAATTATTATTTTAATTGATTTTAAATTGGTGTTGCTGTGTCATTTCTGTTTAACGTCGATGAAAACAATAAATTAATAAATACACGGCTTGTATTAACTTATATATATGTATATAAATAAGTGTATTATTTACGTCATTTATTCTAGTGTAATAAATTCGACCCTTAGCTGTAGCAGAAATGGTCGATTTGTAATTTATGCAACTTCTTCCTAGTATATTTGTTGGGAGTTCTTTGCAAAAAACACCGAATTTCCGTGTTACATTCCATTCCTTAGCCATTTTTTTCTGTTTTTTACTGTATAAGAATACACTTAAACTTAAAATTCAGGCTCCTAAATAATTTTTATACAGGATAATCCATGGCAAATCAGCCGAAGAATCGCAGCTTGAAGGCTTCCCTCGCAGGGACAGGTGTGTGTATAGAACAGGGAGACTAGCCCAACATCTGTCTGGTTCGAGAAAATCTACAAAGAACAATAACCTGAAAATATCCTCACCCTTAACAATTAACCCGGAGATTTCTTTCGTCTACCAATACTACAATACTTCTGTTCGATTTAGGTGTTTTAATTCCTCGAGAGGGAAGAGATTTATTCAATTGTAAACACTTAACACCGAAGGAAATGGAGAGACGTAACACTGTTGACTCGTGTTAACTCGAAGAATACTTTAATAGATTTAAACTTCGTAGAACAGAACACATAAATGCCCGTGTTGTGAATTAATTCGTTTCAACACCAATAATTTAATTGTTTTAGTGTATTCTAAATCGATCGCTGTTAAAATTAAAAAAGAAATCGAGTTACGTGCTTTAAGGTTGGTTTTATTTTTTCCAGTTGTGGAACACTCGGGAAATTAAACAGACGAATTTCTAGGGGTCGTATTGAAAAATTTAATAATAGTGTTTTGAATCGGACATTCGGTAAACACGTCGGTCAAACCATTGTCGATCCGGCCGACGTATCGAGAAGGAACCGAAACAAAGGTGTTGGAAATCATAAAAGAACTTCCGGAAGATGGAGATCCTATTGTTCTTGTTGTACAACTCGCGCGTGGCTCGCGACAACCGGCATCTGGCGGTCGTGCCGTCCAATTGTCACCTGGCTACCACCATTCATTCCTCCGAATACGGGCAGATGCCGAACTCCGAAAAATCAGACAGACCGCTGACGTCATTTCGCCAACAATGGTCATTGGTTGGTTGATTTGTGGAGCGTGTCTCGCTCGTGTCTGTCAACCATCTGGCACGTGCTGAGTCTTTACACAAGCATCGGTTGGCTGACCGAGACTGCTCCGTAGTTACGACTGGACGAATGTGTGTGTGTGCGAGTGCGTGTGAACGTGTGTCGGAATTTTCCTCCACAACACATCTTATCCTCGTGCAGTGCAGGTAAGTATTGTCGTACCGGCATCACTCGCGACTTAGTTGTAAGCTTAGAACGAGGGATTTAAAAATAAGTTTAATACTACTGCCGTATTTTCGTTTTCTTCGAGTACAGAGGATCCTAATCGATATATGGATCCGCGGGCATTCCGCCATCTTCCTCGCGCTCTCCCCCTCTTAACAAATGGTTCTGGTAGCCAGTTACCGCATTATTTTTAAAACGACTTCTGTACCCGACGTTACGAATACGATTTAAAGAGTTAATCGCGTCTTATACATAATAATTGTACTTACGGGTGTACAGACGAACGTTCTGGTCAAACGAGATTTGAAATATTTGAGATTAATTGGAAATTCCTTAGGGTACGGTCGAATTAAAATAATGAGCTTAGAGGAGTTGCGTGAGAAACAAACTCCTATCTAATGATTGTGCAGAAGGTGATGAATAATTCATGTCTCCGGCGTTAAATCGAATTGTCGATAAAAGTCGAGTCTTCGATTATTAATTTTCTTTTTTATTTATTTAATTGACGTTTCACGGTCGACGATTTTTTTAAGTCGGATTAAGTGGAAGAAACGGCGGTGGCCATTGACACGTAAACACGATACCTCGTAATGCATCAATTGTTATCAACATGCGAGCGAATGGATGGGTGGAGTCGTTATTCCGTCTTCTGCTGCGGCAAAGTAAATATTTCAGGGTGTAGTCCGATATTTTTTGACACATCACACTTATAACCATTGTACCTGTTTTAATGACAGGTGAACAGTATTCTAGTCAAGGACAACTCTACATTGGCCACCTGTTGCCCAAGGCAAACGATTACGGTTTTTGGCAGATGCCATATTAACCAGCCAGAAAAAGAAAATAAGTTTCGTCCGTATTACAAAACACTAACACCGGGTGTTTTATGCGTTAAGCCACACGAAACGATTGAAAACGGAAAGAAATAATATATTTGTATCGCCTATTCAATACATCGAGGGTACGTCCGATAAATTTCTTTTTATCTCTTATTTGAATTCCTATTGTTTCGGCAGAACTGACGAGAAAAAAGGATCGCCGATCCAGTTTTTTATCGTATCTGCCGGCGGTTTGAACTTTTGACCCCGAGGGTAATCTTCTATATCGTATCATTTCACGCGCTCCTCCGACTTCTCGCCGCAATTGATAAAACTAAAATTCCAACGAAAGTGCTTTCATAATAATTAAATAATAACACAGGGGTTAATGTCGACTATTGTTTTAATATAACGTAGGCCTATTATTTTTTATTCTAAACTATATGCAAATTAGTTTTAAATTTAGGGCCTTTATAATTTATTCTAATTAAGTATTTTATTTAATACTTTATGAATAGTAAATTAAACTCTCATTAAATTAAGAAACAATTTCTAGTGTTAGTATTTAATGTAGACTGTACAGTTATAAATGCACTAAATATTAGTATTTAGCAGCATTTACAATTATTCGAAAGGCAACTAATCTCATAAAATCTAGTTTATCTGTGTTCAAACTGGACACATTATTATATTCATACTATTGTACGAATATTATATTATATATATTATTATAGTCTAAGTAGTATAATATAATATATAATAGGAGGCATGTACTGTACAGTGATATAGAAGTGTTCACGAAGAAGACTATTGCGCGGGGCTGTGTCTTAAGTAATGCTTAATAATATAGGAACGTGTCGTATTGTCCCCTCGAGACTAACAAAAGCGTTTCTGCTGTGAGAATAAACGAGCCAACAGCTAAATGTAGACAGAGGAAAAGACGGAAGGAAGCGAATAAGGATGCTGGAGACACTGAGCTTAAATTTGGAAGGGAAAGTGGAGGAAGTTAAAACGCCTTTATTAACCTTAACCAATAAAGGCCTTTTAATACGATCTAATGCCTGGTTGATCGCGCGTGTTTCATCTCTTCGCTATAAAGAAAGTCCAAGTAGACAACTTATACTCAACACATAAAATAAAAGACCAGAAGCGAGTATCTTTACGTTATTTCCGACAATAGAGGGGCGTTGGCATTTTATAGACTCCAACCGGAGATTTCTCGGCAACGAATTTTAACGGATTTTTTAATTAAACAATTAAAGTTGACAGAGAAAAACGGGAATAACACAAATTTTAATTAACGTTAAGAGCAGCTGATATTACTTAAATCTTTGAAACTATTTTCTACCGTTCGAAGCATCTGTCTAGTCACGTGGGACAGGTGAGGGCCAAAGAACAGGTGAAGCTGGAGAAGAGGAAATAACTGGTGTATTTTTATTGATTTATTAATGGCTTCCTAATTTTTTTGGCAGGATGAATGTCTTCTGAATGGCCGCGTCCATAGTCCATTCGGAGTCCACGGACGACGATTGGAGGAAGATCTTAATCGGGTACAGAAGTTGCGCGGTCGAAGCCATCCGTTACCTGACGGAAGAGGAGAAACTTCCGTTGGATCACCCTTTGGTGGTCAGCCTCTGGCAACACTTGATAATGCAGGAAGCTCAGCTTAACTTTCAAGAGATTTTAAATTCTATCGGCGACGACAGCGGTGTCAGCATGGCCGAGGACAGCGACAGCGAAGACGAAACTTCCACCGACACTTACCGGATAATGGCGTCGCACGACGACTAGTCAATGGGCTATTCTTGTATAGACAAAATAAGTGAATTAAACGTCATTAAAATGCACTTTTTTAAATCTTCCCCAACGTTTGCGTACTTTTAAATGGCGTGGTTCGTTTCGTAGTACGAATTACGCGGAATTTTAATTTATAAGATGCAGTTTCTATGGTTATTTTACTTAAACAGAAGTTATAGAACAACCAGAAACAATCAAATTCTTTATTTCAAGAATATAAACTTTTACCAAATATCTTAAAATTACCGATTTACATAAATATCTACAATTTATACAGTAAAGTAGGTTATATTGTCCGGGATTCGGCCGGACGGTTTACAATTTACACCGAATTTTGTCCGAAAATCCAAAATTACTAATAAGATACTAAATTAGTACGCTTACGAATTAAATTGGATTCTATAAAAATGAGACACGATGATGAGTGGATGCCAGTCATAGATTTAAATGCGATGCACAATAAGGAGAAGAGCTTCGGAGTGTTAAATTCCTATTTCTATTCCCGAAATTATATTTGATTCCCGATATTTAAGAATAATTACGTCTATTATAACGGATTAGAAATTAAAATAAGTATTTTTAATGAAAGATATTCCAGAATATAGGCCTATTATTATTATATCTTTTAATATATAAGATGTAAATTATTATTAGGTTAAGCGCTTATCTTATCAGCAGTTTGATACAAAATAATACAGTAAAATATAAAACAAACAATAGGGCCTATATATAGGCCTATATAGTATAGACGATAGAAGATAAGCGATTCTAACGTAGATAAGAATAAATGACCGAAAGAATAATTAATAAAGTATTAACTTTCCTATTGGAAGATTGAAAATTCGTCGACTTTAAACACCGGTTTTCGTCTTGGAAACTTATTCTATCTTCTACACCGACGACGAGTGGAGAAGAAGTTCGTAAATACGATTTAATAATGTCACTATCCTCTAAACCTAAATTTAAAAATAAATAAATATATATTTAATATTTTACATCGGTTGGCATTTAATACAAAATATAAATAAGCGAATACATTCGATATAACATAAAATAAATACGCGGGTGAGCAACGTAATTTTACACCGCCAACTTTTAAAATTTAATATTAGAAACGTGAATATAAATTGTTCCATTTAATATTTAGATAAATTAATAAGTAAATTATATATATATATTTTAAAATATTCTACGAATTAAAGAACAGCCGTTCTGTTTCTTTCAAAACAATTTCTTAGAAGATTGCGCGCTTGTCAAGGACGATCGTCATCGTTTCGATAACTGTGCAGTTTGCCGAATACAAATCGTCGTGTTTCGTCGAATACGTACCACCTCGTTTAGTTTAATCGTTTAAATTGTGGAGCCGTTAAATAACGAAAGATTTAAAAAATCCGTTGATTATCGCCACCTTTTTGACTCGGCACTCGTAATTTTCCGTGGAACACCGGCCATTTCGTGTGTATAGCATTTATATACGAAATGCATTAACTTTAATTTCTAATCTTACGCGTAATCTATCGATCGAACGGTCGACTTTTAAGAAATGTCTTCCTAAATTTGATATAAATTTAATTTATTTAATATGTATAAACTTACCTATTCGATAATATAATAGTCTAATTCGAAGACAGAAAACCCCAGGCTTTTTATGGATTTTTGAGGGTATAAGTTTAGTTGTTCCGTCGTAAATTTTGAAACGTATCGTCGAATAAAAAACATTTATTTCGATGCGTATACGTATCGCTCGCGCGTATTTATCGTATACACTTAATGCAACCCGCATTGCGGAGCCTTCCCAAAAAAAGTTCTCTATCTCTGGTCTAGTTAACGAAACAAAGAAAAACCTTACCGGTACTAATAACGGACGTGGACTTTTCCATAAAAGTTTTAAATCCGTCGCCTTTATTGTAAATGAAATCTGGAATCGCAACTTTATAGTAAGAAGTCGTATTTAGAGGAAAATATTTCGGAACTCTGCAGTTAGAGCATTTAATCAGAATTTTTTCCACTCTCTCTCCCGGATTTTTCTTCAAATTATAACGAATCTTCATTCCTAAAATAATAACAACTACGCCATAACTGTCGTATAACGTTTAAATTCATTTATCTATGTCTATTAGTCTAACGAGTTAGACTCGTAAATTAACTCGTATAAAATATACAATTTTATAAAGAAAAATAGTGATTTAAAAATTGACAGATGTTAAACATTATTTACATCTAATTTTAATGTAAAATCCGTAAATTCATTTACCAGAAACTTGTAAGAACGCCCCGGGAGGGTCAACGCCCGTTACGTCATAATTTTCGACAGCTTCTTCCATAGCCGTAATCAGATCGCTTCCTTTCAGTTCGACTATTAAGAAAATGCAAGCGAAGGGGATAACGTTCATGAGATCTTCCATGGTAATGTTTCCTGTATAAAATATTAAACGGGACTTCAAAAATGTACGTTTTAGAATCGCGTGGTTAAAAACTTGAAAGGAAGAAACGGTCTAACAATAAACTTACCGTCGGCGTATCTTTCGTCGATGGAAGAGCGAATTCCTCCCGAATTCCAAAGAGCGACACTAACCGAAGTCCACCCTCGATCTCTCGGCATTTTCGTGAATTCGCTGACGACGGCATCGGTTAGCATGTTGCCCATATTGCATTCTCTCATCCTGCAAGTACTTCTTTCGCCGAGAAGCAACACTCGCGATTTTCCTACCACTTCTTTCGATATTTTCTCCACTTCTTCAACGTACGGCTTCAAGGCGTTTTGTATTAAAGGATCTAAATTCGTCATAAAAATTTTCCATAAAAATCGGAATATCCGGAATAAAATATAAGTCTACTTTCTGATTTTAGGCGTTTTTAATTGTATTTGTGGCTAAGAAGAACATTTTTTGTAATGGTTTGAATTTTATATTTGATCTTCAATCGTAATATCTTACAGAAATACCTACGTTGAAGAGTTGCGGACGAAATTCTTAAGATAAACACTGACCTTCTTCGACTTTTTCGTCTAAAAGAATAGGATTCCCCGTCCAACTTTGGACTTTTCCATCGTCCGTAAATTTAACTCGAAGAAATCCTAAATATTTTCCGTAGGTGTAATCTTGAACTACCAGAGTCTTACTTCCGTCGTCTTTATCGATCACAACCGGATATTTTCCTTGAGGTTTCTCGATCGAAGGAGGATTTCCTAGAATGAATACAATAGCAATATTTCAGAAACATACATTATTCGGCATACTACGAAAATAAGGTCAAAAATTCAAACCTGTATACAAAAAAGTATCGGTGTGTCCTCCCACTACCACATCCAGATAAGGTATACTTCTAGCAATTTCCAGATCTCTCCTAAATCCAGAATGACCGAGAGCGATGATAATTTTAATTCCTTTACTGTGTAATTGTTCCGCTTGTTCTTTCAGACAGTCGCTTTCGGTCTTAAATGACACATTACCGGGACTAGCTAAAAAGGAAGTGTCTGGCGTTACGTAACCGATAATCCCTATTTTCTCACCTCCTACGTCACGTTCGATCGATGAAAGTATTTTTCCTTTTAAAAGGGGTACTTCGTCGACATCGATATTACATCCGAGAACTGGAAAGTTTACGTTCTCCAAAAACGGTAAAAGTCCTTCCACTCCGTCATCAAATTCGTGATTTCCCAGAGCCTAAAAGAATATAAATAAATTATTTAATAAACCTCTTTCGCCAGTTGGCCCATAATTCGGTTAACCAATACTGTTAATAAGATGGAGCGCCGAAAAATTTCATGAATGTCATAACTTTATTAAGCACGAAGGGTCTCGTTCGCCACCAATTTAATAGAAACTGTAATAAGAATGGTTAACTGACTTTTAGGTCGATTTTTATAGCAAATTAGCTTCTTTAGGCACTAGCCACGGTATCTAATTGGCACCGGGACCGAGTATTTGTATTTATAGTTGTATTTCGTACGAAAAATACGTTTACTTACCATAGCATCGTGCCCCAATCGATTCATAAAATCTGCTACTATTTTCCATTTATGAACGGTATACATAAAGGTACCTTGATAATAATCACCGGCATTTAGAAAGATAACGTTGTCGTTCGTTTCTCGAATTTCTCTTACCTATTATGTAATAAAAATATAATATTTTAATAAATCGTATTGTGATATTTACTGATATCATTCATTTAATACAATAAAACAATAAAAAAGTTCTCGGCAGCGTTTTATGTTATATTATAGTAGATTATATTGGAGGATTTTCTCCGATGCGAAGAATACAAAGTAACAGGAAAATTTGAAATACCGTCGATTCTCGATTTTACGGTCCTCGGTATAACGTATTTCGGAAACAACAGAGGAAGGAACTCGTGTTAATGGAATAAATCTACACCAAAGTACGGAGATAAAGAAAACAACAAGAAAAAAATGCCAGTACGAGGCGTATTTCCATTTGGTTTTTTTTTATTACGGTTACGATTTTAGTTTAAAAATGCTGTTCCAATTCCTGATTGGTTATCTTATAATTTTCAAACGGCGAGAGGCGTGTTTCATTGGTTTCGTGAACTGACGTACCGTGTACCGTACTTCCCATATAAACGAGTATCCTTATTTAGGTGCGAACACGTTCGACTGATACGGGTAAGTAAACAGGCGGTAACGAGACGTAACTCTGGAGGGAATCGGATTTTAGCTGTGAGATTTCTTCCCGTGTGCAGCTGGTTCGCATTATCCGTATACATCTTCGAGCATTGTATTTTTTATATACTTTATTACGATATTCTTTTATTTTTCGGGTTATACAGACCTTCGTTGGCTTTAATAAGTGGTCCCCGTAACTATTACTTCCAGCGCTGGCTTAGAAGTCTTTTCTAATGCAAACTACAGCCGGTAGCTGAAGCCCCGAGTAAGGCGGAACCCTTTTGCTCTATTTTTTTTTAATGAAATATGTTGTCCGTTTGTTTTTTATTAATAAAAAGCAATCTTAAAAGTTCTTTCTGTTAGTAAAGTAACATAAATTTTAAAAGGAGCGGGAACCACTACGAGCCTTCTAATTTTCTCCGGGCCCAGAAAATTCCCCGCATTGGAATAACGTGATTCGCGGTGCAAATTTGAGTTTCTTATATAGTTTTATATAGATAATCTGGGCCTCCTGCCCGGAAAGTTTTCATATTTAGTCTCGGATTTCATCTGTCTAATTCCATTCTCGAGATTAAGGAATGACAGACGGGAGAACAGAATACAGTGGGAATTTATAGGTTTACAATTTTCTCAAACTGCAGCTCAATAAGAAATTTAAAGAAACGGTAATGTTGAATTTATAGAATTAGAACAATAAAACGAGAAAAGAATACGCAATGTTTGTAATTATTTTCCAACAGTGACTAGATTTTTTGTCTCGTTACTAAATTCGTTTTTGACAATTGAAATGTTTACCTAAATTCTTCGATTATGTTTAACCACTCGCCCGAAAGAAATGCTCTCGACATATTTTACGAAAGACAATAAATAGTAGTTTCTTGTGTGATTTTCACAATTTGTAATTTGAATTCTTGACATTTTCCTCAAAATTTCCTTCTAAAATGTCTAGCTATCCGCTAAGATGACACCGAAGTAGGACACGCGCCGTTTCGGAGGTAAAACAAAATGTAAATTAATGAAGATTACCTTCTGAAAACTAATTATATTAGGTTTACCAAAAAAATGTAGCAACCAGTTGCAAGGACTATATACTACAAGGATAGCCAGATCCCTATTCTACAATGTTAGCCAGGAATGGCAAGTTAGTGACGTCAGCACGAGTCCTGACCTCTCTGTTTACATAGAGCAGGGTGTGCACGTGTTTAGTTTTCGCTTTTAATATTCGTCCAATTTTGTGATTAACGAAGTGATTTATTTTAATATTTCTGTAATTGTTTTATTTGACTAAGTTTTATATAAGGTAAGATGATTTAAATATAAGTCATTAAATATTTAAAGCTATATTTTTATGTTAGGTGAAGAACAAAATACTGAGTGCTAGGTGTGCTGTGTATGGTTGCAATAATAACCTTTTTTTTTCAAATTGGAAGCAACCTGTTTACATCGGGTTTGATCAAAAAATGTAGTAGCTTGCATCAGTGACTGTAGTTGCAGTAACATAAGTTTATGGAAAGAATTGAATGTGAATATCAATGAAACGTTTATTATGAATCAATTATTATTATCAATGAAACGTTTATTATGAATCAATTATTATTATCAATGAAACGTATATTAGAGATATAAATATGTGGTTCGACATTTTTAATAGCTATGCACCAAAAGGTTCTGTTCCAAGCAAAAGTGGATATGGTGTAGACTCGGAATTACAAGAAGAACATTTAAATAAAATGATAAAAATAATCTCAACAATGAGAGCGAGTGGAAAAAAATGCCCTCCAAATTTTCCAGAAAGGAATGATAATCTCAATGAAATCGCTAATTGATCTTTTTCAAGATATGAAATCGACTTTTGATATAAAATACATCTGCACTCACAATTTAAATCAAGATTGTCTGGAAAACTTTTTTTCAAATTAGAAGCCGGGGTCCTAATGAACATCCGAGCCCATTAAATGCTATACATAGAATTAGATTGATTATTTTAGGTAAGAATCCTGGTATTTTAGAGTCAAAAGTAAATACTACAGATCGAAGACAAGAGGAATATATTATACCCAAAGTTTTAGAGAAAGCGCATGTAGAAGTATCGAGTAAAAATACAGACCAATATACTAAATGTAAAACTACTTTTTCTTCAAATAAATCTTCAGGAAACTCTACATGTAATCTAGACTTTAACACAATCTCTGAAGAAACTTCCTACGATGCTGTCGAGTATATAGCAGGATATTTTGCCTATAAATATAAAGAAAAATACCCAAACTTAATTAATTCCACTAACAAAATTAAAAATCATTACAACTATAGCATTCCGTCATGGGTGCAACATTTATCTTATGGAGGGCTTATTAAACCTACTGATGAATGGCTAGCAAAAATTATAGAATGGAATAAATATTTCGAAATATATCACGATGAATCGTATAAAAAAGGCCCCGGAGTTGTACAGAATTAGTCAGTGGAAACAGTTTTACCTTTTACTTTAATAAAAGATTTTTGTAAATTAAGAACTATAATAAGAATTAATTATAGAAATCTTAAACAAGAAAACTATAAAATATTGAAAAGAATGCCTTCTGAAAATGGTGATTGTCGAAAAAAAATTAAAAAGTTAAGTAAGATAATCACATAATAAAAAATATAGCTCATTAATTTGTTAAATAAATATTAGACAAAAGACTTGTAAATTTATTGACGTACAGTACACTTATTAAATCCGAAAATTCTACAGTAGTTTACATTTAGTAGTAATTTAATAATTAATTAAGAAATGATTTAACATTTTATCGTATTTTGTTATTTGAAAGATCTGTCGTGTTGAAGTAGAGGGTTTGCTGTGACGTCACGTAGATCCAAGGTCATGCTAACAAATATACGGGATCTGGCTATCCTTGTAGTTTAAAGTCCTTGAACCAGTTGCTTAACTTTCCCCGCACCATTTAAAACTGCGCGCGTGGCGCCATCTGTTGCGATATTTTATTAAAAATCCTTTTTATATTTTTAGTTAGTATAAAATGGCAAAAAGCTTAATTTCCAGGGTAGGGTTGGGTTTTATAAAAAAAAAGAAATTGTAAATGCTAATAACGAGTAAAAAGATCATTAGGTGCTACTCCCTTTATCTTCCCACCCCTTTGATCTTTAATCACAAAAATTTAATTGTATCGATCCCCCTAATACACAAACCTCCCCGCGAAATTTCAGAAATTTTCGACAAATTGCACGCGAATTATTAAGCTTCAAAAAGAGTGAATAAAATCGTGCCCTCCCCACACACTAACATCCGTACATACAGAAATTACCCCCGAATTTTGTTTCGCATTTCTCGACGTTTCGAGGTATCCCGAGTTCAAAAATGTAAAAATCTGGGGGAGTCATTTGTCGACCCAGGGCCGTACATTCCCTACGTTAGGCCTATATATAACAGTCGGGAAAGTAACGAAATGACTGTGGTAATTTATAACAATAGGAGCGTATTTTATTAAAAGTCGACAAATTTATTCTCGATTTAGATTCTATTAAAGTATAATATAGGATTGAGGAGAAAAAGTGAAAATACTACTTTAACATCGCTTGATAAACAACGTTGCGCAACGAGTTAGAATTTCACCGATTACAATCGATATTCCAACAGTTGGCACAGAATTCGTACTAATGGCCCTTACGTGTTTGAACTACATAACGTAGATGACTGGTATATTTGATACTAACGACGAATCTGTAGCAAATGGAGAAAGAAAAGATTGTGTAAATACAGACAAAGCATCAATTTTCTTAAAATAGTTTCGGTTCTTTTTTGAATTGAAGTTCGAGAAATGTTTATGTAACGCATTAAGTCTTAAATTACGAAAAGTACTTTCTTTTAATTATTTGATAAGCGTAACGCACAAATCACTCTTCCAATCGATAACCCTCATTAAAACCTCCATTGATTACAAATATTTTCAAACTCTAATTCATGGGTTTTACATTTATTACGGTTACATTATGGGTTACACAATTAAAATACAGTAGAAATTCTTGTAAATCAAAGAGAAGGTGCACTCCGATAAATAAAAAAAACACGAATAATACGAGTACACTGACATTTACAATACTGTATTTTACATTTATAATTAATTTGATTAGAGTATAAAAGTTCGCGTAATTAAAATAATTACATGTATCATTAATGTAATTAGAACCGAAACTGGTACGGGAGACTGGTACATTTAAGTCACAACAACGAGCTAGAATATACTATATAGAGTGACTGTGATCGTGATTACGGCGTTCTTGGTGGCAACGACGGTTACTATCGACGAATTAGAATATTTTAGTTCGTTGCCTTTACACAACATAGATATCATTCCCCCTTGACTAAAAGGAAAATGGCGGACGTGTATTCAATTTTCCTCGAACGTGGCGTCGCTTCAGCCATTCTATCGTATGTAGTACATTCTACTCGTTCAGTCACAATGACTACATTTTGTCACCGTACGCGAGTAAATCGTTCGAGATTCATTTGTTCGTCATTTTTTTTTTTACTCCGAATATCGTGACCCGATTGACGGACTTTCTACTGTATATTATTTACTTTAAGCAAATTAGAAATTATATACAGTAAAACCTGTTTAAAACGAAAACCCGCCAAACCGAAAAAATATTCGGTTCCTTGCGAGTCCAGTTTACACAGGTTTCACCGTAGACACGATTAAAATAGCTCTTTTTCCGGTAGACAAATTCCTCTCATTAACGATTTAAAAGTGAATTTAGAAACGAAAAAAAAAGAGAAGAAATTAAGATTTTGATAAACTCGTTATAAAGCCAGAAATCTTAAAAATTTAAGCATTTTTATAAGAGTGATTACTCGGAGCAGTATTACGCATCGACTATAAACTGTGTCGTGAATAGGGCGTGCGTGTTTGTATTAGTAAGCTATGTTTCTGTTTGTATTAATGTTTCTTTTTACTCTTTTCACCCCGTGAACACTAAGAGGACCTCTTTTACAAAACCCATTATGGGTTCGCCAGCCCACAATCGGGCGGCCGGATGATGTCAGTGTGTTTGTATGTGTATGCTAAGAAGGACAACTGGCACGTTCTTATCCGTCCTTGTCAGCATCCTTGTTTAGTAATAGGTTTGTGGTTTGCTCTGTTGAGAAGATCAATCCTTTCTTTCTCTTCTTTCTATCTTCTCATCCTCCTCCTCTCCCTCTTTCCCGAATAACTATTTTATATGCGCTTATTAAGAGAAAAGCCAATACTTTTCCCGGATATAGTGTAAATGTAAAGGAGAAATGAAACTCGATATGGAAATTCCAAATTTTCTAAAAATAGAAAACGAAAATTTAATCCCGTTTTTATTTTTTAAACACTATTTTAATCATTAATGAACAGTTAATTTCCTGTTTGTACTTAACATAGTAAATAACTATTCGTAGTAAACTAGATAATCCGGCAATAATAAAAAGCGTTATATACGGATAAATGCGATATATCGAAGTAACGAGATTTTTTAATCTAAATTTAACTCGCTTATAATTTTAATAGAATATACTAAATGAACACAGAATTAATCGTTGAAGTGTTATCCAGTTGTATCAAACGTACAGATTACTCATCGATTATCGTGTTCTTTAACACGTGTGTGTATACGATACGACTCAATAGTATTTAAATGAAAGTAAATATAAATAAAATCGTCGGTACGCTAGACGGCATTTCCCATTGTAACGGTACAAGCGGTGTGACTCGTTATCTGTTTACTTTGTTTCTGACTAAATATTTACTATATTAATGATTAAAAACACTACTTAGGCCTATATATGAGAAAAACAAATAACAAATTCTCTATATTGTTTCAAACTGGTGAAAACGAATTAAAATTACCATTCTACTATATTAAATATCCAACAAATGGAAGAATTCGACAGACTCGAAATGACGATCTTTCTTATAAAATAACACGAGGAAGCGCGCAATTTGTTTCTAAAAAGTTTTTTCTTGTTATTCTGCGTGTTGACATAGAAGGATGCGAGTAGAATTAGCATACAGAGAATTTTAAAGGCTCTCAACAATTATTATATCATATTCCACGTCTCCATAGAACGACGAATTCGCAAATACTGTATATAACAATTGGATCTCGAAAAGTGCAATTTTATTAGCGGCGAAGCGGAATGTGAACGATAGCGCTTTCGATTTATTTATGCGTTTCGATAAAGACAAATAAATTAGATTTCCCTCTCACACGGGAAGAGGAAGACAAGCGATCGATAGTCACGATTTTTTTAAATTTTTGAATAATACAACACTCTCTATTCTATATTGTTAACTCGCGTAACCTTTATTAACACAAAATACAATGGGTATAAATCGTATCGTACGCGAATACAAATCCATTATACTAAATTGCATACGGGTATAAAAACCAATTAAACCATTTATGCAATATTTAATTAATTAATAAACATTGCAAAACTCTGACCCAATTAGGACAATATCGAAGTAATTTAACAATTTATTTATCCATAAGGCCACGAACAGAATGTTTATAACGGTTTAAATATTAGTGTTTTCTAACGCTATATAATTGTATAACATAAACCGGTTCTTTAACATTGTATTTTTTTAATAATACAGTAAAAACTGTCCAAAACCGTACTACACAGGTTTCACTGTATATATACTTTATAATCTTAACAGATACGAATCATATATTAAATATATCTTTAACTGGATTTATTTATTGCAGATCGTAGCCTATTGTATAACAACGCATAGTAGTTGTAAAGCGAAGGGGTGATGTTTCGATTTTTTAAAATAAATATCTGTTGTTACATTCGATATTCCAATCGAATATTTTTAAATAATTGAATAAAATTGAACAATAAATTAGTTTTCTATGCCTCTGGCAACGTAGAATAGTGCGCTTTCGCGTGCGACTTAAGTGTATTTAGTAGTGTTATAAGGCTGTGTAAAGTTTATAGGAGTTACAACAGTTCAATTGGTAACGATTCTTATGCGTGTGATCGAATGTTAGTGTTTGTAAATTGATTGGTCTCGAAATATTTAGGGATAATTTGGGAAATAATTTATGTGGAAAAGTCATCCCCAAGTAAAAGAAAGTTCCAAAAACACGTGTAGTATCATTGAGAAGGTCCGTCGAAGATCGAAATTAACCTTTAAACTTTCAGATAAAGTTTCGATAGTAAATTTATCGATAGCAATAATAATATTTTATTAATCACTTGTATTTTTAAATACAGAAGTAATTTTACATGCGTATAAAAAGAAAATGTTATAATATTTGTTAATAATAAACTTAAAATTTCGAGACGGATATTTAATTTAAATACACGAAAACACGACGTTACCTTTGACATCTGTCTGGCCACTCCACCGAAACATTCCCCCTTCTGGGATAGAGATTCGGTACATCGACCCCCGTATTTATTAAACTCCTCGAATCTGGCGTGTACATCGTTTGTATGAAGTATCGTTAATTGATAAGTCCAAATATGTCCGGGCAACAAAACAGCTAACACCGCCGCAATAAACATCACTCTACTGTACATTCTGCCAGTCACCGCGCGTGAAACGCGGATATGATAAAAAAAATCACGTGATTTTACGTTTCTCCCCCCTTTGGGAGATAAATTTATTTGGAATCCCCATATAAAAGTGTCGGTTCGAAAAACCTGTTTTCCCTTCCTGGTGTTGGAATTAATACGACGTTCGAACGTTTCGCAATTTGTGGCCTTCTTTCAAAAGTCGAGATGACGTGTTTACGTCATTTCCGTTAAAAAACGGAAATGTAGAATGGAATTTTTTCGGGTGTGAGTTTTTTCTGTTCTCTTAAAGAAAAAGTGTTATTCTACGAAACGTTCTGGCAATTATTAATTGGGAGGATTTTATTGGTGTTTCTTACACAGTGTTTATTTAGGCGACTGTTTAATCCTATTCATGCCTACCTTTACGTGTATTTTATTATTATTACCCTCTTTTTTTTTATATAAAAACCTGTATATAGTGTACTTAAATAGATGCTCTACATACAGGTTAATCATTTTAAATGTATTATTGTAGCACGACTCGCTGAAAGACTGTATTGTCGTTGACTCCTGTATATATTTATATGTATTATAGTATCGCGACGAGCAGTAAGAGGATTAATTAATTAATACAGGAAAGATCCCGTATTAATCCTCTTACGGCTCAGATTAGGAATTCGAATGTTTGAAACTCCTAATGGCTAATTAGAACACAGCACTCGCAATTCTCACCCTCTAAGCCTCGGGGTAGAGATTCTAATTAATGGGTTTAAATTCGAACCCATTAATTAGTTCTTTCTGCAATTATGTATTAAAAAGTAGAAACAATATTTACTCAAACAACTTTAATATACACCATATTTAAGTCTGCGTGTACAGTTTACGGTTTACGATAATAATCGTGGAAGTCGTCGTGATGACGTTTATCGGGGTGATTTTGGGGTCGGTAGTAGTACTGGCGCCTCTGTTGCTTGTCGGAGTGATCCACCGGTGGATCTCCCTTATATTGCATGCGATGATAGGACATACCGTCTCCTTGCTGCTCTTTATGATCGGCATTCCTAAACCCTTTCAGTTCGTGTGCTTTGTCTCTTCCTCGACCACCCCGACGACGAAAGCTGTAACGTTCTACGTCTTTGTCTCTCTTGTTGTGGCTCTCGTCTCTGGGAGATTTACTATCGTACTTAAAGGTTTTGAGGTAGCTGCTACCTCTGTTGCGCTCGTGTCCGTCGCCGTACTGCTCGTGCTGTTCGTATACTTTCCCTCCGCTCTTCTTTCCTCTACCCTCTTTGTTATGTCTGCCTTGTTCGTCTTTGCTCGTCACGTGATGGTGATGATAGCTGTGAGGGTAGTTCTTAGCCTCTGACGATTTTAACTCTTTCGATTGGTCTGCGAAAGCCTCGCCGATGACAACGATCCCCACGAACACCTGTTGTATTAAAATAAAATCATTTTACTTTTTAGAAATAATTGTTTGATTGTTTTTTTTGGCTTACAAATTCTTGTAAAATTCTAAAAATCCGAGGTTACTTTTTCAAATTTTTGGCGTAACATCCGATCTTTGGAGATAACAAACGAAATTCGTCGTAAAATATAAATTTTTATTGTTAAAATTTGTATACAACGTATAAAAATACAAAATTCTATGCTATTTTGGCAACACATTAAAATGTAATTAGCGCGATAGAATACGATGAAGATATAATTATCGTCTTCTAGCGATGATGATAATGATGATGGTGGTGATGATGGTGGTGGTGGTGGTGGTGGTGCTCGTGCTCGCCGTGATGATGATGATCGTGATGGTGGTGGTGATCGTCGTGATGGTGATGATCGTGATCGTGATGGTGGTGGTGATCGTCGTGATGGTGATGATCGTGATGGTGGTGGTGATCGTCGTGATGCTCTTCTTTGTGTTCTTTTTCGGGATGATGATGGTGTTGAACTTTCTGGGGTCGTTTTTTCTTGTGTTTGCCGTGTTCTTCGCGATCTTTGGATTTATATTTACCGTCACGCAGATGATCGTGATAAGTTTTATGATAACCGTATTCTTCTTTATGGTATTTATTTTTGAAGCCGTGTTTCTTATGGCCCAAATCTTTGTTGTGATGATCTCCGTGTATTCGATGACGATGGCCTTCTTTGTGATGTTTAGATTTATGACGATCGCCGTGTTCGTGGCTTTTATGATGACGATTCTTGCCGCCGTGTTGTCCGTGCTTTTTACTACGATGGCTTCCTTCTTCGTGATGGTGTCGGCTCCCGTGTTTCTTATATTTGCCGTGATGATGATCGTGATGCTTATGTCCGTCTTCGTGATCTCGATGCTTTTTGTGATGAAACTCGTGACTTTTACGATGATAATGATACTTTTTCCCGTGATGTTTGTCTTGAGGATGTTTTCCTTCCGCAACTTCTAGTTTCTTACTGCCGTGTTCTTTACTTTTCTGGTGAGATTTTTTGTGCTGTTTACCTTCGGCAACGTCCAGTTCTTCTTCGCTTCCGCGCGAATCTCTCAAGAATTTCAAGAGGAACGAAGGGAAATCTGTAAATTCTATTTCTTCCACTCTATCGGCATCGGTCGTTGACGTCCAATAAGCAAATATAGTGCATAACGCTAACATTCCCTAGGGAAGAAAACATTTAAATAATCAGACGTGCAGAAATATGATAATTCAATTTAAATATTTTAATAATTAAAAAATATATATACGTAGAAAATGTTTACCAAATTATTATTTCCCAATCAACGTCGAATTTTTCGCAACTAATTGTGTAAAATACTATGAAATGCAGACGAAATTTGATTTAGAAATACAACATTCGAAATACTCCAAGAAGCCAATGTGAATGCCACTAATGAAATTTGTAGGAGAATATTTTCATCAATTAGATAAGCGTACAATTATTAAAATAAATCCCGTTAAGTGTGTAAATAGCGATGCCACAGTAAATAACCAACATAATTCATGGCCGATTTCGTACGAAAAGTCGAAAGTGGTATCTCGATTACACAAAAACTAAGTTTATGCAAACAGAAGGCCTTAAACACTACATACAATTACTCTTTTCTTGCGGCTTCCGTTGCAATTTTACATCTCATTTTTACAGCAACGGTATGTAAAATTGCATTTACAACTAGAAGCGTAAACACGATGACTTTATGATTTCTTTCTTCTCCTCCTCTCGTTCTCATTATTTCTGCACCCTTCATCGTCCATTCCGCTTCACTCTCGTCATTCCTCACACTTCCTTATACTTTACGATATCCTAACTGCCTTAAAAATTAACATACGCGCACCTCCGAAACAATTGCGTGTTAATATACGTCATAAATACTTCTAGCCAACAGAAGATTTCTTGTCGACTTTCGAACGTCTCGCTTTAAAAACTGCCGAAAAATTGAAATGTGATTTTTTCTTTCGTATACAAAAGCATTTATTTCTATAAAATGGTATAAAAAGTAATACAAAAGTAAAAAAAAATAAAAAAAATCAATTGAGCAAATTTTGAAAGCACATATTAATCAATTTATAAGCATTCCATCCGCACGCCGTTGCTAAATTAGTGATGATGATGGTGGTGATGATCGTGATGGTGATGAGGGTGACCGCTGTGATATTCTTTGTGGTGTTCGTGTCCGTGTCCTCCGTGTTCGTCGTGTTCGTGATGATGATGATGGCCTTTGTGATGATGATCGTGTTCTTTCTTTTCGTGATGTCCGTGTTTATTATGATGATCTCCGTGATGGTTGTGATGTTCGCCTTTATGGTGTTTATGGTGGTGATGTTCGTCTTCGTCGTCGTGATGATGGCCTTTATCGTGATGGTGTCCGTGATGTTTCTTTTTGTGGTGTTCGTGTTTATCGTGGTCTTCGTGATGTTTGCTGTGATGATCGCCATCGTGGTGATGATCGTGATAGGTTTTGTGGTGGCCGTGTTCTTCTTTGTGGTAATAGTTTTTAAAGCCGTCCTTCTTGTGGCCGTGGCTCTTATGGTGATGGTCCCCCTTTTTTTCGTGATGATGGCCGTCGCCGTGATGTTCTCGATGATGACGATCGCTTTCTTTGTCGTGTTTGCCGTGATGGTGTTTCTCGTGGTGATGACCGTGTTTTTTGTGATGGTGGTCGCCGTCTTCGTGATGGTCGTGGTGGCGATGCTTATTCCATTTGTGGTGTTCGCCTTCGTCATGCTTATGACCATCGTCGTGGTGATGGTGCTTGTGATGATGACGCTCGTGTTTACCGTGATGGTGATGGTGCTCCGAACCGTGATGTTCGTGGTGAGGGTGATGTTTAGTTTCGCTCACTTCCAAATCCGCAACCTCGTGATTTCCAGAATTTAATAAATCGATCGAACGAATAGGATAATCGATAGAACCTTCGTCGCTATTTTCGGTATTAACACCGGGCATCCAAAACACGTAGATAATGAAGGAAAAATAAGCCAAATGCTCCTAAATAACAAAAATTATTTTAGAGAAAAATTTCATAAAATACTTCAAAAACATTTTTATTGCACGAATAAACAGCAGCAATATTTGAAATTATTTAAATTAGAAAACAAATGAAACCAATTAAAACAACACTTTATTTTGTTCTAGAACCCATCTTCATAATATAAATTATTATTCATAAATAATATAAAATCCTAAGAGCATTATAATGAATTTTCTTAAGTCATACACAGGTTTCTCCTCTTTAAATATTGGAATAAATAGGTGTGACAATAATAAATATTCTTAATTAAATTAAAAATCTTTACTTACTCAATGAGTAAAAAGTCCTTAAATATTACACGATGAAGGTTCATCGTCTCCATCATATAACGCATATATATATACAGTATATAAATATATATATCATAACTTGATTTCTGGAGATTCGAATGGGAACAAACTAGATTATATAAATGATGCACGCGATCTAACAGTAAACCAATTTATTAAGGTTTCGTTTCATAAATAGGTCCATTACAGAGAACCACTTGCGCAAGTAATTACAGTGGTAATTATGCGTCACAATATAAATAATTATAAATATCATTTGTTTTATTAAACTAACGACGGTGATGTTTGTGATGGCCACTGTATTTCTCGTGATGTTTGTGGCCGTGACCTCCGTGTTCGTCGTGCTCGTGATGATGATGATGACCTTTGTGATGATGGTCGTGTTCGTCGTGATCGTGATGGCCGTGATGTTTATGGTGTTCTCCGTGTTGACTGTGATGGCCACCCTCGTGGTGTTTGTGATGCTCGTGGCCGTGTTCGTGGTCGTCGTGATCGTCTTTTTCGTGGTGGTGTTTATGATGTTTGTGCCCGTGATGCTCGTGTTCGTGGTGGTCTTCGTGTTCCTTATCGTGGTGGTCGCCGTCGTGGTGGTGATCGTGGTAGGTTTTGTGATGTCCGTGTTCTTCTTTATGGTAGTAATTTTTGAAACCGTGCTTTTTATGTCCGTGGTCCTTGTGGTGATGATCTCCGTGTTTTTCGTGGTGGTGCCCTTCTCCGTCCTCTTCGTGGTGGTGGTGATCGCCTTCGTGGTGATGATTCTGGTGATGGTGTCCTTCGTGTTCGTGCCCTTCTTTGTGGTGATGGTGATCGCCATCTTCGTGATGATGGTGATCGTCGTGGTCTTCCCAGTCGTGGTGATGGTGTTTGTCGTCTTTGTGGCCTTCGTCGTGACCGTCGTGTTCCTTGTGATGTTTACTGTGTTCTCCGTGGTGATGATGATGTTTCTCGGAATGACTGTGATGCTTACTCTCCGCTCCTTCCAAATCTCCAAACGCCAAAGCTTCGGGCGCAGTCAAATCCGACAATTTCCTTCCTAAAGCTAATTCTTCGCCACTAACTACATACATACAGCACGCCAAGGCTAACGAATACATCCCTAACTTTCCCTAGAGATACGAAACTTCGTCATTGGACATGCTAATAATTATATCTACATACTTCCCCGTTCACACTAAGGTAATTATTTAATAGTAAAGTTAAAGAAATAAGACTCGGGCGTTAAAATTTAACGGAAAAAATCTTATTTCTAAATGAAAATTCCTAAAAAAAGATAATAATAATACTTTTATAATTAATTGATTGGAAAGTTTGTAAACACGCGGAACGAGTGAGTCTCCATCTGTCGTCGTAAACGCGAAATGGCGCGGGAGAGAGGAGCAAAGTTTGCACTTACCCAAAGGGATATGAGCTTGACCATTTTGCAAGGTGGACTTCCGCCGCTGTGGATGCTAACCTTAATCTGGTCTCGGTCGTTTCGCAGCTGGATGTGACCGAGTCCACACCGTCGGCATTTAAATACACGGGATGGTCCGGTCTCGTGTTCTCTGGAGCGAACCGAGTGACCGTTATGTCGTGTCGGCGACCCGGTCGGTGTCAATCGCATCTACCCCGTTCAAAGTGGATCGAAAAGAATTATAATACGTGCAAGGCAATCATAATTCGTCGGCAATTTCTTACTCGCATTCAATGGAGTGTGGGGGAATATCTCCACGCGTCACTCTCGTCTTTCTTTAATTAATTGGACTTTCCAGCGTGGGAAAACTTACTTTTTCCTCTTTCCCCGCCAATATTCGGACGAAATAATACTTTTACGCCCCACCCGAACTGTAAAGAGATTGGCACTAAAAGTTAATATCCAACGAATCGAATGCTAATTCGTTCATTTTATTGTTACGTATTACTTCTTAATTCCGAATTGTAAAAAACGATTCCAATCGTTTCCGCTAGATGGCGCTAACGCGTCAACCTGGTTTCGTCAGTCGGTATCTGTGTCTCCGGGGTAGAGTCGGAGACAAAAAGATAAACGGACTCTTTTCGTTTTGTCCTTCGGCTTTAACGGCGCCGAAAAATTAAATTTCTTTAATTATTCAAACTATTCTTTAATTTGTGATGTTCGGGTTCGTATTCTCGTGTATTAAATAGCGAGAGAGTATGGAGAAGGGCTTAAATATTCGATTAATTCGACCCTTCGACCCCGGAGGAGAATTAATTAATTTTTCCTATTAATTTTCCTGTTTGTGTAACGTAAATTCCTTAACTAATCGTTTGGACTTTTGCAAGAACTTTTTCTTTATCGACAGAAAATAAGCAGATTAGATTTACGTCGCCTTTCGGTCGATCGAATCGACTTTATCCATTTGAAAAAGAAATAAAATCGCTATTTTATCGCTCCGTCCAATAATTAATAACGTAATTCTACCAAAAATTAATTTTTCGTCATAAATACGGCGTAATATAGATCGGAGTTACGCTACGTTTCAAAGGGTAGACTCTTTTTTTTTCTTTCTAGGAATAAGTTTAATAGCAGACGGCTCGACCTACTTCCCTAATATTGAAATTCGAAGTACAGTTATAGCTCGGTGGGGCCCGGGCAAATTCGATTTTGGGGCCCCCCGTACGGTGCCGACTTCGTAGGCCTTATAAAAAATTGTTTTGGGGCCCCCCGTTGCTGAAAACCCCAGACAATTGCCCTTTTTGACCGTAGAATAACGTGCCACCGAGTACAGTAGTGTCTTAGCTCTCCATACTTAAAAAAATCTGTAGGAAATATTTTAAATTTAAAAATAAAAAAGAATTAATATTATTTTTCGGGTATTTAAAATGGAAAGTGAAGCGTTACGATTTTTAAATTTATTATTTTTTTGTGGTGCGGAGGATGACGCGAAATTACCCCAAAAAAAGTAATTATTTTGTTTTTTTGGATTGGTTCGCATTCTTCATTGGAACAATTTGTTTTTTTTTAATGTTGTCCCGCATAATAAGTTGGTGGAAAGATCGATATAAAATCGAAATTGTTCTCACAGTTTTTCAATTGTTTACTGGCAAAATTTCCCACCGACAAGAAAAAAGTCTGAATTGTAGGCTTTATCAATGCGATATTTTACATTTTTTTTTTAATTTTTTAGATAATATAAATACAGTGAGCTGCTTGAATTCATTGATAATTGTTTATAAACAAGTGTAAACTTATCCGAATTTTACTAGGCCCACTTTTTTTAGTACGGGCTCTAGCAAAATAGGAATTTAACACCCGATATAAATTACAATAGAAAACTTTCTATCGGATGCAAATTTTCTAGGGAATTTCACCGCTTTGTTATTAAATTTCTGCGAAAAAGAACGGCGTAACCCAATAAGTTTCTAAATATAATCGAAAATTATAACGAATCGCCCTTACTTTGAAATTCTAAAAAAAAAGAAAAAGAAAATCATTAAATATTTTAAAAATACAGTAACGAGTTGCGTAACTTTTCCAGCAAAGTAGAAATTGCGTGTGGCGCCATCTGTTACCAGATTTTTACTTATAAAACCTTTTTTATATTCTTAATTATTGTAAAATGACAAAAGGCTTAATTTGGAGGGTAGAGACGAGTTTTATTTCTTCAACAGTGTAAATGTTAAGTCCGACTCCGCTAGACACGCGTCGCGCCACCTCCTGTATCGGCTCACCCCCTCGACTGTTAACCACCAAAATTTAATATTATTAATCCTCCTAATACACCAATCTCCTCGCCACATTTCAGGAACTTCCGACAAAAGGCACGGAAGTTAAGCTTCAGAAGGGTAAAGAAAATCGTGCCCTACCACACACTAACATCCATATATACAGAGAAAACCCCTAAATTGTTTGCGTTTCTCGACGTTTGGTGTTGCCCGAATCTAAAAATGTAAAAATTTGGGGAGTTGATCGATGGTCATACTTTCTCTGTGTTATGTACAGTACAGTACGTGTATGTAACACGGGGAAAGTATAACAGAGAGAAAGAAAAATGGCATTTAAAAAAAAGAAGAAAATTGTTCGTCGACTGATAAATTAATGGGTAAATATTTTCAAATTGTTTTTAAAAATACTATCGCCGATTTTTTTTCCTTTATCTTCTTTTATCGAAGTATAAAGACGGGACGATATTCTTTATATTGTCTATCTAATCCAAATAAAGATTGTTGAATTACGCAATTTTTCAGTCTCGCATCTTTTCCAAAGAAATTCCGAGTAAAAATAGATCTGGGCTTTGATTTTTTCTTCACCACCAATTAACCAGAAACTTCCATTTTCCAGTTTCCCGCAACTCTTTCCTTTATCATTGACCAAATATTCTTCATTTAAACCCGTTTATCCGTATAAATTTCGTCTTCGAAAATCCGCCAGATAATCGGAGGGAGGAATTCTTTAAAATATTGAAAGTTTTGGAGTCTGGTTGGCTCCTCTTCAGAGGCATAAATTAAAGGATAAAAAACAAAATAACAATTAAACCTTTTAAAACACATTCCAAACAGTTTAAATCCCGAATACTCTTTTAGATTTTAACTAATTCGTTTGGTTAAAACAACACCCTTAACTGCGAGTTTAAAAAGTCTACTTTATACTTTGTATCCACCAACCCGAGCCGGATTTATGCCTAAACTAAAAGGCCTAGGGCCCGGCGCTTTTAAATTCGTTACAGTTTACGAAGGGAAGGGCCTCTTAAAGCTCGATCTAGACTAGAATGCGTGGAAAAATGGCCAGTTTAAGGTAATTTCCTGTAGAAATTTGGCACCTAAAATCTATTTTTGTGCTAACCGAAAAGTCGTTTTATCTTTAGAGAATCTCATCGCGCAAGTTCTATTACACTAACACCGCGGGTTCTTAAGTAGCGCACGTCCCTTCGGGGGGAACAATTTTCCCCGAAATTGTAAACTTTCGTGGCGTAACTCCCCCCTATTAAGAAAGGCCGGCCACGCGTGACGTCGTACGTTACTTTTTTATCGATTAAAAGTTACGCTAAGGACGACCGAGTGTTACGTTACGCCGACGGATAATACGTAGGAAAACTGATTAGTGCGAGAGAATGAATCTTTTATGGTTATCGACGAACTTCGTCGTTTAAAAATACCGACCGAAAACACCACATTCGTGTGGGAATGCCATTAAACACGGCCTTTAATTAAATAATACAATTGTCCCAAATGTCTTTTAGTAAAGGAAACTTATTTACGTACACTAGAAAATTATTCGTCGTACGGGAAAACGGGCTAACGCCTTAATGGAAATTGTCGCGTGACGAACGGGTTGCTTTAATTCGCGTAAACAATTAAACTTACGGTAACGAGCGCAAAGTCATAACTGGCTAATTACGTATTGTTCCGCACACGAAACATTTCTGGTAAATTCGAGGCCCTAAAACGTAACCGGTGAAGGGCCTTTCCTCCTCGTCAAATAACAATACACACGCTAGACGTATAGTGTTTTTTGAGAACGGATCCAGGCCCTAAACGATCCGAAGCACACCTGGCACTACTGTTTTTTTAAGCATTGTAGTCTGAAAGGCCATTATAGAAGGTTTTGTTTCTAACAATTCTCTTCGGAGGTAATTTTGTGGAACCTCTTTAAGAGGACCGACAATCGAACGAACCGTACGTAATTACAGCAAAAAAAAAAAAAATGTATTTTTAACCGTGGCTAATATTTGCCAGACCAGTTTCGTTTCTTTAGTGTCCGAGGTGTGTAGTCTCGTGTTACGTAACAACACCAACGTGTCGGGAGTGTCACGTGTCATCAACTCGTTCGGCGAATGCTCTCAATGAACGAGTTAGTACCACGTGATATTCTCGAATCGCGTATTTATCGCCGTCGTCGCAAAATCGCTACCGAAATAACGTTTTCCACAATTTATTTTATTATATATATTTTTAAATTTTCGACGCGTAAACGTTAACCACGTCCGAGGATTTACGAGTGTATCGGCCATTAAGGCGAGAGATTATCGCCATCGGTTTTTTAGCGATAACGAGCGGCGACGTGCGAGGAAAATCGAATGTATTCTCGAAAAGAAAGGGAGGAATTTTCTGGAAAGCGACGAATAATATTAACGAATGGCGGTAAATTTTTTCACGTCGTCGATTTACAACCGGCAAACCTCGTTCCCATTACTCTTAACGCGGGAATTTGTGACGCAAAACTCTTTTATCGTGGGTTTAAATGCTAAACGAAGGCGCGAGTTACGAGGTTACGTCACTTTCTTCCGACACCGGTCCGAATTGCCCGTCGTTACGCGTAGAGCGATAAACGGGAAGGAGGCGCATTACCCGAGTATTATGAATTAAACAACGGCGCGTCGTTCGCTATTTATTGTTTGACGGAATAAAAAGAATTCGACGGAAACAAAAGGTCTTTTCGGCGACGACAGCTGCGGATTAATTACTTGGAAAAACGTTGGCGCGTATCCGGCATCTGTTTCCTCGCCGCCTTCCCGGATAATGCGCCCCTCGGTTTAGCGCTTCCCGCCGTAACAAAGTTACGCCAATCCGACTGGCCGCGAGTGCCGGTTAATCGAGAGTCCACGAAAGAACGGAAACGGAAATGAGAGTACGAGAGATTTTTCGCTATTTATTACTTTTATAAACATTAACAATTCAACCTTTTTTTTTGTTTTGTTTTCTTATTTTATACAAGTTCCGGTGGAATCAAGAGACGGTTTGGCTTCTCTCCGATACAAAACGCCGCATTTGTTTTATATTATTTACAGCTCTTCGAACGCTTTCATTCGATTGGAAGAGGGGAAAAAACACAAGGAAAACAAAAAATGGATGGAGTCGCTAACGGTTGGAAAACGCCGCTGCGTGGCGTGGCGGACGGCGGAACGTGAGGTAGAACCCGTTCGAATATGTGCTCCGTCTCCTCCGCGCGATTAGCGAACGCGAAGCTCTTCCTTGGCTTGATCGTCCGCGCGCCGTCGGGTCTCCTACACTTTTTTCTTCTTTTTAAATACTCGATAAAACCCGGACTTCTTCCTTTATCCTCGTATAACAATTCTTAAATAATGTTATATATATATATAATATATATATTTATTTATATACTGTATATGCGTTTACGAACGCGCAATTTGTTGCAGTGCGAGTAAGAAAAGACAACGCGAGTTCACGCAGTTTGTACTATCGAATGGAAAGACCGGAAGGAGTGGTCGTCCCCCCGACGGCATTTCCGGGAAGACTGGTCGGGCGTCACCTGTCGACGGACAGCAGAATCTCCAACCAGCACGGGCAGGAAGTGACGAAACGGCGCGAGTACCTGGGACCCCATCCCTTGGCGAAACTGACGCGGACGGCGTTGGGGTCCACCGGTCCGTCCGAGGACCCTTCGTCGTCGTCGTCGTCGTCCCCCCGACCGCACTGGGCGTAATCGAAGACCTTGACGGAGTGACCCGGAGGCAATTTGTGAACGGTGAGGTTGCGGGTGGAGGGAGGATCCAGGGCGGGGGAGTTGAAGAAGAGCGAGTGCTCGGAGCGATTGTAGATCCACACCTCGTCGTCCTCCCGGGTCAGCGTCAGTCCCAGTCCGATCTTGTCGCGGGTCTTGAGAACGCTGTCGTTGGAGGTGGTGTGGTTCTGGGCCAGGGTGGAAAGGCACAGACCCTCGCCTCGAGCCACCTGAGAGAAAATGTCCAGACTCGATTTGTACACGTGATACAGTCTTCCCACTCGGGTGCATTGTTCCCAATAGGCGACGTAACACCACACGCGCCCTCCTCCTCCTCCTCCTCCGTCGGACGGCGTCGACTCGTCTGCGCGGGCTGAAAAGACACAAAGGAAAAAAACAATGAGCGAGGGAGGCGAAGGACCGGACCCGGCCCAAACGGGAAAACAAGATGGCGCCGAGTCGGCGGCCAAAATACCGGTCGAGAAAGTAGGGCAGACGATCGGCCGAGTTAGAACGGTGGCGCCAATCGAAGGAACGGCGAACGACGCCGACCTTTAAACTCCGTCGGGGGGAGAGGAACGGGCCGTCGGGGCCACCTCTTCCGGAAGGCGTAAATATTTACCGGGACCGGTGTCCCGAAGGCGCTTCCGGTCGACCCGACGCTCCGGAAGAGCGCCCCCTGGCGGTTTTACCGCGTCCGACGACCTTCGTGAGACCGGGCACGTACGCCCGTGACGTGGCGGCGGCCACCGACGCTTCCGGTTAGTTCTTCCGCCGGGAGACGACCTTCCCGCGCCGGAATCGTCCCCCGGACGGGGTAAGAGTCGCGCGCGTCCGTAACCCAGTTTCCCGGCGTGCGGGAGAGAGAGAGAGGGAAATTACCTGGAGGCCGTTGTCCGTCCCGGACGCAGCTGCCGTAGGGCGGAGGCGGCGATTCTGACAAAGAAAAAACAAGAAACATCAGAGGGAAATTTCCCGGCTATTTATAAAGTATCGGGCAGACCGTCCCGGAAAGGCGGTCGCGGCGCGCGCCCGGTCCGACGGCGCCGGCACCGAAAGGGGGAGGAGGAAAGGAGCCAGCCGCGCGGTCTCCGGCACGGGCCTCGTGCCAACCTTAATTGTCTGCCGAGGCCGATAACGGACGGCGCCGGCCTGCGTCCCCCGCTCGGGCCGCCCCCGGAATGGCCCGGGGCCCGCCAGAAGAAGAAGAAGAAGAAGAAAAGGGACTCACCGGGCTGACAGATCCTGCTCCAGTGGTAGGGGTTGCAGCAGACGGAGGTGGAGTCGCGCCCCGTGCGGCAGCAGGCCAGGCGCTTGAGCTGCTGCGAGTGTCCGAGTTCGGGCCACCTCCACAGGCGACAGCACAGAACGTGGGGCGAAGAGGTCCTCCGGCCCGGGCGGGCCTCGGCCGCCGGCACGGGCACGCAGTCCGAGGGTTCGGCGCCCCGAGATTCGACCGCTCGGACCAGGGCCTCCAGGTGCACCTCCTTCAGCCTCTTGAGCACGGCGTAGGCCGCCGACTTGTCCTCGGGGTCCTCGGGCCAGCGTTCCGCCTGTCCGTCGGTCCCGCGTCTCTTCCATAAGCGGCGGATCAGGCAGCTGCGTCTACTGCGAAACATGAACGGAAGCGAACATGTCGTCGACTGTCGACGCGCCCGTCTCTGCCAATGGCCGACTCTCTTCTCGCTCCCGTCGACACCCGACTGCCGGGCACGCGCTAATAACGCTTCCACGATGGCCGACTGCGGACGAAGCCACCCGCGCGGCCGCGTCCGATGGCGATTTGTCTCCGACGGCGCCCGTTGGCTCCTTCCTCCCGCCGCCGCCGGCCACCCCCGCGCCGGGTGGACCGCTCCGGACTCCAGCGCCGACCTGGCGGACGCGGCCACCCGCCGGCGCGCGCCGACACCGACGCCGACGCCGCGCGGATTAACGGCGCGACGGGTCCGACGCGTCTCACGTGACCGTCTAGACCGACGGGCGCTACTCGACGCGGAAGGTTGCCCCGACGCCGGATCGAGTTTCCCGGACGCCGCCGCCGCCGCCGCTGCCGCCCGGGCCGTCTCCGGAGAGGAAGGAGGCCGGGGGCCCGCGGGCCGCGCGCCCCCTTCTTCCCTTCTCCGCTTTCGCGCCCGGGCCCGCGCCGTCCACTCTCGTCCTCGCTCCTTTCCCGGTTACGGGACGGCCGGAAGTCGGGTTAGTTGCCTCTTCCCTCGGTAGATGGCGACGGGGCGGCGAGGGAACTTTAAAAACGTAGGAAAGCGCGCGCCACGGCGGCGACCGGCCGAGCGGGAATTTCTACCGAAATCGGGGAAAAACGTAACCGCAAGTATTTAAAAGGCCAAAGTTTATTATTTCCCCGACTTTCTCAAGACTCCGGCCATTACTGGAAAGTGACGGCCGATGGCCGAGAACCTGGTTTCGTCCGTCGACTCGGTTACGCTTTATAATTAAAAGTACCGTACTCACGCCAGCCGTCGACGACGTCTCCGTCACTCTTTGTTTATTTGTTTCCATCTGCACGGGAAAATGCTCCTTTTGTTAACTTTCTCTCTCTCTACTTTCCGTCCCATTTTTACAAAATTGCTCGCGTCCCCCCTCCGAGTGTTACGCGTCGATCGATACTGCTTCTCGAATTGTTACCTATACATAAGCGCTTTTTTCTCGGTATTGTTAATATTAACCGTAACAATGAGCCGACCGGTTTGATACGCCAAACAATAAACTTTATCGTATTGTGTTGTAAACCCAAACTCGGTCTGGTTGGCGGTAACGCGAAGTTTTATTTTTGATACTCGCGGCGCTTTTCTGTCGCTTTCGTCTCCCTTTCGAGCGTGAATAAACAAATAAATAACGTCGCCCGCGTGACGCGAATATTCCGCCGGTGCCGTTCTAATTACCGACGGGAAAACTCTGCAAAACCCGGTCGCTCGTCGCCGGTCCTCCCGTTACGTGTTACGGCCAAACCTCCGGAAATAGAAATACGTCGCCTTCCTATTTTCGCGCTCGGCTCGCGTTTGAGTGTTGCGTTAGACTCGAAAACTGTAGGTCGCGTCGCGCGCATTACGCGCGATTGTTTTACGATAAGTTCGATTCCCCCCCGAAGCGACATATTTAGACGTAACGTCGGAGAAGAAACGCCACCCAGACGACTTCCGCGTTTAGGTGGCGTAACCGATGGCCACGCGTCACGCCGTCGGAAAGACGCATTGTTTTAGGCGATACGCCATCCGAAACGCTTAGCGCTTTAAAAATTTTGGGGTTCTCCCAAGACAGTCACGTGCAGTGTTTATATACATCGACTACAACTGCCCCGTCGAAGAGAAAAATAAGAAATCGATCGATGGGTAAGGAAAAGGCGCTTCCCTATTGTTAAAGCTCGATTGTTTTCCTAAACTTCCCTTTTACCTATTTAAACAAAGGTCGCCGTCGTCACTCGCGTAACGCAAAGTGTTTAAAAAGTAACGCGCTACGACCTTCGCCCGCCTGGCATTTCTGTAACAAACAATGCCGTTAAACCGGCGATAAATTAAACACTAGTTTAGAAATTAGGATAAGTCGCGTCGTTTATTCCGCGTAATGACCGGCGACGCCTTCCAAGTGTTTATTAACAAAGTCGAAATTTATGTAATGTGCAGAATTTACTCGCGAGTCCCAACGGCGCCCCCTCGTCGCAAACAAAACCAAAAATAAATAAAAAAAACTTTGCGACGCGCGACCGACGACCGTGCGGCGGCGTCCGGTCTAATAATGACCGGAAAGCGATTCGTCCGGTCCTTTTCCTTCGGCGGACGGAAGTCGCGTCGCCAATTTCCGGCCACATTTTTAAAATAGAAGCGACGCCACCCACCGAATCGCGCGGCATTCGACCTGCCCCCTCGGAAGCGCCGAACGCGTGCATTTTCTTATCGTCTCTCGTTCTACTTCGCGACGGAGCGACGACCAGTCGCGGTCGCTCCACTCGTTCCCGCCGTCGCTTTATCTTCCCTTATCGATCGTTCGCGACGTCGGCAAAAATAGCGCCGAAAAGTCCGCCCGTCCCCACTTTTTCTATCCCATTTATGTTTCCATTTCGAATTTCCCGTCTCCACATCCGGTTCCGAGTGTAAAACCCGACGAATACTTCCTCCCTCCACTCGGTGGATGACGTGGAACGAACTTATTCTACCGCCACGCGAACTTTGACCTTCCGGAGCGAGCGTTGTTCCGCAACGATTCCTTGGCTCGCGATTTTTCCACGCCAGGCTGCGTAAACTACGACCCCCGTACAGAAATGGTTAGAAGTCCCGATGCAGACGGCTTCTTACGAAAATTACTTTAATCGAGGAAAATCCTCCAAATTTCTCGCCACGTTCCCCGAGGGACATTCGATATCGATTAAATTAAAGTGTAAGGTTGCCGCGAGTTCCCCCGAAAGTCGGCAACGACCGGACAACACGCCACGGTAGAATATTTCGTTTTGCTTTAACACTATCATTATTAGCGGCAGCCGTAGTAAGAGTAGTGTTTATAACTTTTATAAACGCGATATTCAACAATCAAACAAGAAGAAAAAAACCAGGCTAAGTACACGAAGATCGTCTCGTCACTACCACGTTTCGCGTGTTCCGACGCGATCGACGTCGCCGTTAATAACTTCCGTTTCCGGTTTGGGAGTCGAGAATTTACAATGGCCATCGTGTGTAAACAACGGAGTTTCGTCACGAAACGCTCACGCGCGCACTAAATCGTTCTTTTAAGGTCGAGACGAGCATCTTAATGATTCAGTTTCCGTTTGAAACGTCTCCCCGAATACGAGTAAACGTAATTTCGAAATTAAATCGTAACGCGTAAGATCGAAGTGTGTAACAAAAGCGATAATCCCCCCTGCAACACAAACTTCGATTTAACGCCGCATCACCTGTTCGTCTCTAAAGCCGGTTGAGAATCCGATTACGGCGTTTAATCGAAAAAACCTCTAACAATGAGAATTGTTAGTAGTAACGACATCTGCGCCAAATTTCGAGTTTCTAGGTCGCGCGATGACACCGTATATTCGCAATACCGAAAGTCCCCTTATTCGATATTTACGAGGATGGAGCTATTTAAGAAAACGTCATATCGAGGTCTGGCCGTGGCAATCGGCCTACGACGGCCTCTCGACGGCACTTTTATAAATTCTAATTCTCTCCCCGTATTTAACGATTTTAAGGTAAGTATAAGGTTTCTACAAAGCCAATTTCAAAGGCAAAATGGCGTCGTGCGAGTAAGTAATTGACGAAAATCGATTTTACGAAAATCGTAATTTATTCGAAATATTATATTACACAAGTTTGTCGAACGTACAGTACATTACTGTACCGTACATTAAATAATCGATCATTCAGTTATACAGCAGTTTATTTCGTAATCGTTATATTGTATATAATTAGTAAATTTTATTGGTGAATTTTGTATAGTTAGTTTTTCCCCCAAATCGGCCAATGGCGTGTCCGGTTTCCGGAAGCGCGAGTGACGTACACAAAAGAAAGTTTTCGGTTTCGTGTTTCGCAAAATGGCAAAACCCCAGAGATGGAGAAAACAGGGAGAAGAAGAGGATCGTGCGCGAATTTCATCGTTTGCCCTTCTTCCCCTTGCTCTTCTTGGCTGCATTCTGCGGGTTCTGATTTTGGTCGCCACCACCTTGCTTCTGCGTTCTGGTTTTCAGTTTGGGTATCATCTCCGACACGTAGTACATTAACGAAGTACCTGTTCCGAAAGAAAGACGAGGACACACGTTACTGCTTCCGAACAAAGAACAGACAATCGCACCACACGTACCACAAAATACTCATCTGTATCGAAACCGGGCATTTACCTCCCCTATTGCAAAGCTGCGGGAACTTCTGATATTTCGTCTATTCGGACAACACCCGCACGAAAGAACTAGGCCCTTATATACGCGCTACTAAAATTGCGCGTAACAGAACGTTGTAAATCGAAACTGACACGTGGCAAATACAGGTGTTTTGTAGAACGATGGCAACAATATAATTAAAATTAGTCTCGTATACGGTTTTCTATCGAATGAAGAAAATTCGTTCTCGATTTCTTAGACTTTAAAATTAAAAAGGTGAAGATCCGTATCTTTTGACACTTCCCTTTCTGCCAATAAGCGCTCTTACCAGCAATATCGCATGAAGATTTGTCTTTTTTTTTTAACCGGAACAAAATCTACAATTCGCGTGCAAAAAATTATCGACGTGTGTTGTACTGTTTATAATTTATTCCTGGATTTTCCATATGTGGATTGCCTCACCTGTTTTTAGGGAAATCACTATCTGGCGTAGTGTGGCGTAAATAACAATATTACCACAGAGACTAATTTATTCGAAACTAATTAATCCCTTTTGACTCCTTGCAGTCATACAATAAATACAACTGGGTGTTTATTGTATGAATTCGACAGATATTTGATCTCGTCGGTGTATATTATACACTGTTATATTCCTTTTCAAATTAGTTATTTTTACTTTATTTAGGCAAACTTGTGCTACCAGGCTACAGCTTAGGGCCTGACACTTTTATCACTACTACTGTATAAAAAAAACCTCCTTAACTCTAAATCTGCCTCTTTCTTGTTAATTTGTGCGCTACTCGTAATTAGAATTGAAAGAACGGGTGTCCGAAAAGTCAGTTAACCGTATACTCCAGATACACTCGCGACTACGAATCGTAAAACAATGATTTTACAGCATTGTAATTTTCACATTAAACACGAGATATCTGTAAAGTTTGTTATAGTATATCACGGCAATTTAGACTCTACTACGGTTAACCGATTTCTGGGCCAACCCGTATCTTAAGTCGGATCTATCTACAAAAATGGCGGATAACGGGGCCAAATTAAGACAGAGAATATACTTACGAGTGGGATAACTGGAATTGACTGGAGTACCGTCGTCATTTTTTAACTGTACTCGAATCCTCCCCCTGTATATTATGTTATCGTGATTCAATTCTCGAGGGTACATCTTGTTCTGAGAAAATATATTTAAAAAATATATTAGTAAGGCGATAGTTACGGAATAGAACTTTAAGATATCAAATGTAATTACAATCCAATTAACACGTGAACTGATTTTTCATTTGTGTTTTAGTAAACTACTTATTATAACGAACTTTACCCTTGTTAAAATAGTGACGACCTTTAGAGCGGCCGTTCTAAATTCTATAAAGCTTTGCACATTGTCAAATTTCATCCCCTTTCAATCTCCCAACGTGGTATTTTAATTGTTTTTCAGAAAACAAATGAGTAATTTAGGTCCTAACGAGGAGTAATTAACGTTAGAAAAGGAAAAGTTATAAGTAATAATGTAAAATAAAATATAGCATTATCTAGAATAAGAACGAAGCCAACGTGCTGGATCTGGAATGCGTATCACTCCGCGAAAATTTTTTCACACCTCTAATTTCACGCAGACAGGTAGGCAATTTCATATAAATTATAAAAGTTTAAGCGTGTCCTATTATTTTCTAATATTCGTTCTACTTCGTAACGAACACGAAACTGTTTTCCTTCGCGTATAGATATTCTTATTCTGGGAAAGACTACGGCGAAACGTCATTAATTCGCCGAAATTTCGTTGATGGCACAGAAAGATTAAAAAACAAAAAAGCAAAATCCGAGGAATGCGCGAAGCGTACAACACGAAGGGATCTCAATCTGGGCCAACCCTTAAACAAGATGTTAAAATGAAGATTACGTATTGTGTTTTGTTCTTTAGTGTGATATTTAAAAAAATACCTTCCGGTTTTCCGACCAGAGTCACTAACGCAGCAAAGCATTGTGTTTGGAGCGCAGAAGTTGAAATGAGGATGAACATTCTCCAATCGATTCTACAGTTGCATCCAATGCCACTTTGCAAGAACCAGTGCGAACAATTCCTTTATAGTTCCATTCTTCCAAGTATCCTCTTTCTTCAATAAACTGGCAGCTGAATAAAATTCAAACATTCGATCAATTTGAAATGGCACTTCTTAAAAAAGAATTCCAATAGCCAAGTCTTCGTTCTCGTGAACTCTGTCGACACTCGGAAGTTTCCTCTGCGAGAAAACTTGTCTTGGACAAAGTTTTCGATCTCGGAAGTTCTGCTAATTGCCGAAATTTCTCCGCTCTAATTCTTTCCGCTTGCCTTCCTGGATACGATACTCCAATTCTTATGTAGAACAACCGAAACAAATACTTTCCTGTAAAAGACGTCACGTTACAGAATTTGGATGCCGACATTTAGTTTGCCTTCTGGATAATTTCTCGAATGCCGATCGATACTTTGATATTAAAATGTTAAGTAAAACTGCAAACTAAAAATGCAATTCTTATATAGAACAGTTGGCGATTGTAAGATGCCAGCTTGCGTGGAAACGAAAGGACCCTCACACTTAAGTGCCAGGAGCTGGCATCCCGTTTGGTCCCAAATACGCTCCATGAGCGAGAGAAGAGGAACTGTGGCCACGTGATTAAGACATCCGTGGAAAACCTTAGCCGCGTTGCCGAGTATTATCCTACCGGAAAATGGCTATTTGCAGCCCTGGTACGAAAGGCAACGAGTGAAAATGCAGGATTTCCTGAACGCGAGGCACGCTAGCAGTGGAGCAGAGTGCCGCTTAACAGTAAAATTGGAATTAAAGTGCTCGCCGGTGGTCCTCCACACTAACGCGTTGGTCTTCTACTCCAGAACAAAGCCCGAATTCGTTACTAAAGGCAACAAAGCTGACAGTTTGTATTAGTCTATGTTTCTGTTATGGCATCATTGCAAATGAAGTCAACTGTTAATTTCATTTGCAGTGATTCCAACAGGGTTCTATAGCGAGACCCCTCTCTGGGTGCCGAACAATGCGCAGTTGCAACGGTTTATGCTTGTTTCCTGGTGGTCTGTCTAGGGCGTCCAGAACCTGCTTGGCCTGTGCTTGGCCCTAATACATCAACTATTCCCCACATCTCTTCGTCGGGTCAGAACGGTCCAGATAGCAGGAAATTCGAAAAAACGGCCACTGTGCTTCCTCAGCCCGATATTGCGGCTTCTCTCAAACTCCCTCAGTTGTGCAGAGCTTTTGACCGCGCGTTTTGCAGTCATTTCTGGCATTCAAAGACCAACAAAAAACATCGAAAATCTCGAACAATGTGGCTTCTGAGTAATTTTATAAGATACTGGGATAGCGCTTGTAAGGCGCTCTGTTGGCATTGCATGGCGCGCCAGTGAAACACAACTGCAATCATTTATTTGTCTGAGATACAGCTGTATGAGAAATTCGGAGAATTCATGGTGCCAAACTTTTTTGCAGAGATTAATTCCTGAAAGTATTTTAAGGTTAGTGCTTTCTTAAAATATAAACAAACTGACAAAATTATTGCTATCTAAATGGTCTTTGTGCATACATTTGTACTAATAATTGCAACTTATGCACTCAATTGTAACAAGTGAAATTTTTTAGCTGGATTAAAAATATTCAATACGATAATTTTTATTAAAAAAAGTAAAATACGTGAATTTTCCTCATTTCTTCTTTGATTTTCTATGCATTCATGCAATTATACTAAATCATAGAACCCTATGATTTAGTAAAATAATAATTACACAAGTTACTGTTGTCCAAATAATTTCTCTTAAATCAAGATTATATGAATCTGGATTAAACTTATTTTTATTCAATACTTTTGGGATGACTATAAATTTACATAAACCTATGGGATACGTAAATTGATCTTAAAATTTCTATAATGCCAAGGGCATTTGGATGACATAAATCACTAAGATGAAAGGGTTTATTGTTATTTCTGTCCCGTTACACACTGAGAGAATTTGAGCAGGCCACACTGGATAACTTAGAGCAGGTGGTGAGGGTCGGGTGGTCTAAAATGCCGGGGATGGACTGCCGGGGGTTTTATGACATGTTTGGATTTGCTCCCGGTCACACGTCCCAAAGCGATAGGCTGACACCTTAACCCATTAAGGAGAATCAGTGACCGTTACATAAATTTTGAGGTACCTGCACTGAAAGTTTGGAAAGTATTAGTTTTTATAAATTGTCGAAAAAGTATTTGACAGATTTCAAAATCTTGCATACATAATGTTAAAGCAGGGTCCTAAAGCTGTCTGAAAAGTCTTGAAGGCCAATCAGTAATTGTGAACCTCAGAAAGACTATCTTCAAATAAACAATAGCAGATTTCTATTAAATGAAACGTTTGTTATAATCACACTACTACTTTCTTTTCATTTATTTCACATTCAATTCTGACCCACCTCTAGAAAAAAATTTGCCATCACTTCCTTAACCACTCTGTTAAGTTATCAAAACTACTAAGTGTATATGAAAATTTATAAATTCCATTTGTTGTAGAAATTTGAAAATTTTGGGTTATATCAATAATAAATTTTCTTATTAATTTTTTTTCTATTGATTATATACTGTAAACTGACAGCATAAATTTACATTTGGCAGTTCCCTTTGTGGAAAACTCTGTCACACCTTGACGTAATTGTATCAAATTTACAATGTTGATAATTGTGTATACTCTTATGTTGTCACCCGTCTACTTCCTCCGTTTGGTAAAGTTTCATTTCTCCCCAGAAAATGTGTGGCTGTGCTCATTTCACAATCATAATTAGGAGTATAAGTTAATAGTCTTTGCTTGTAATAGTTTAAGATCAAAATGATTTTATAAAGTTACAAATATCTAAACGAACAAAAAGTTTCAACAAAATGCATAATTTAAAAGTAAATTTTGACACGAATGTCAAGTAGAACTGTCAATTTATTATACATTTCCTTATTAATAACAACACCAGTTTAATTTGTTTATTAAAAGAAAGACAAATGGTAATATTAATCAAATTAAATCATAAATATTCTGTGAAATATCACATAATTTCACATGATATTTCACAGACTGTATATCATATTTACTATTAGAGAATTTTAACTTTAAGAAAAAAAAATAATCAACAACTTTTGTAATGAATTGCTTCTTTCTTATTTTATACTTTAACAAAAATACTGATCATTGAAAATTAAGCAGAATCTATATTGTTGCAGACAGACAAAGGCATAATTTGGATAAATTTTATTTAGCTTAGAGCAATTTAGACAAGGAAATTCTAAAATAAATTTTTAAAAAAAAAACCTTTTCATTTCTCAAACCAAAAATTTTACTCTTTGATCAAGTAACAAAAGACAATAGAAATATAAAAAAATCCTTTTTTAATACTGAATTTTTACTTCCTTATACACTTTCATTACCAAATAATGCCATTTTATATATACACTTATTAATCTCAATATTTGACATCTAAAAGTTTTAATTAATTATTCAAAACTGGAAATGTGTCTACCAGACTATTATTTAACTTGTTTTAAAACATTATTAATTAATTTAATAAAATGCAATAAAATAGCAATTCATTTTGTATTACAGTAGTACCTCAGGATATGAATGCCCCAGCATACGAAATTTTCAGGATACGACACGAAATTCAAACATATTTTTGCTCCACGATACGAACAAAAACTCACCATACGTCACATTAGTTCGCAGAGCCATTTTTTATTCACTTCTGTTCGTCGGTCTCGGTCCACGCGTTTGCTTTGTCGTGGAAGGATCTCGCTCGATAATGGAAATCTCAAGGTATTATCAGAAAGTGACTGATTTTATTGAAAAGAAATATCCCGAAAAGGTTCACACTGGCCGTATTGCCGCTCGGAGTAATGACATTTGCCTAAGTCATTTTAGAAACATTTTAAAAAGTAGGCAAAGCCAAACCTCTTCGGATAGATATTTTACCGAGCGACCTCTATCCAGTGAAAGTGCTGGTGAAAGTGAAGGAAAGAAAGCAAAAAGCAGTAAATAAAAAAATTAAAAAAAAAAAATTATATAAAATAGAAAAGATAAAAAAATTGAAGTTATTGTTACATTATGTTATGTAAGTTAAGTTTTAGTATCATTTCCCTTCTCCCTCTCCTCCGCCAACAGTTTACACCTCCACTGTCATCTACCCTCAAAGGTGAAGTGCAAATAAAACTACTTTTTTTTTTTTTTTTATCAATTATTATTCTATTATGGTTATTTATACATTTACAACT